ACGAGTACAATAGCTTTAACAAAGAGAACTAAACAATATAACTGTTTGTTTATTTTCTGAAAATCGAACCCAGAATCTCTAAGTGACGAGTCAACGGACCACGGAACTATTACATGAAAATAATTGTTTACTTTATAAATAATCTTTGGACAATGTCTCTGTTAAATAGACTGTTATTAAAATAACAAAAAACATTTCTTCCACCCATTCTAAGTTTTCTCATTTTTAAATAGAAACATTAATCTTAACAAAACTCAATCACTCTAAACACGTTCCGCTAACCTTTCAATTAATCTTAATGTGATACAAGTGTTACCATAACTAATTATTGATGGTAATAACTAATTAGAATCATTCCAAACTCGGTAATGACATAATAAACACCGCTATGGACCTTGTTGCGAGTTTTTATGACCCGCGAGTGTGCCGCAGACACCAAATGAACAAAGTTTCTGCCTCGGATTAAATAACACTAAGCAAGTTATTTTTACCGAATTAGTTTCCTGGGACTATGTTTTATAGAGAAAAGTTTAATTCAGACGATCCTAATCGTAAATAAAAGATTTTTGTTTTCTTTATATTTTTTGGGGTTTTAAAAACGCTGTAAAAGCCCCAGGCTTTTATTGCGCGCTCGTGGCGTCATAAATAGGTCAATTGGATCTAGTGTCGTCTATCTTAAGAAAGACTCAAATTGGCCTAAAGGTAGCCTTTCGAACCAAGCGTCACAGACGCAGCGTCTTTAACTTTGGTCTTGTGCCACCAACGCCGCGTCACTAACTCGCTTCGAAAGGCTACCTTTAAGACAAAAAATAAAAACGCTGCGTCTGTGACGCTTAGTTCGAAAGGCTACCTTAACATCCACTACTGGCGCGAATTTTACTCAGAATTATTCGAACTCAGGTCTGTAGTTGTAACATTCTAGGTACTTACCACTGAACTATGGGGCACAAAATCAAAATCATGAAACATTCTACTTACCACTGGGCTATGGGGCACAAAATCATAACAAGGTTTATGCGATAGAAAGTTAGTACATCATTAGTGTAGCCAGTGGCAAGCTGTAATTATGATTTATGACTTCCAGTACGTCAATTTCTTGCCTTAATTTTCTTCTTCTTCTGTCTTAATACATGTAGTAGCAACTGAGATCATATTTTACGAGGAGAATTTTTTAAGAACAAATGCCAAAAATATTAAGTAAATTGTTTCCAAGCAAAACCTCAGACAGACAGACAGACATAACGAAACTAGTTATAAGGATTCCTTGTCAAGACTACGAAACCCTAAAAAGGTCGTAAGATGAAAAAAAAATTGTTTAGGTTTTGCGATCCAAAAATTCCATATCTGCTATTTCTTATCACAAAGTATCTCGCTAATGTTTTCAAAATTGCCTCAAAGGATAACCACAACGTTCACAAATCGACAGTTACGCAACGCAAAACCTGTTCAATCTTCAATATTCTTGCTCTACATTTGCGCAAGATTAAAAAAAACATTGACCACTCAAAATGCCAATAGCTAGGCAGCCTATTTAGAAATAGCAAAGCCTTAGGCTATAATAAAGTATTAAGCACATTGCAAAAGTAACTAATATGTTTTATTTTTGTCGTGACTTGTCAACGGACTTATAAGCTCGGGTCGATGAACCTTCCTTGTTGTGATTGACCTCAAGCTCTGCGGTTGGCGATCGAGTTAAGACTTTTAGATGGTTATATAAACTTTAACTTGTTCAGGAGCTTTTCCAAACGACGACTAAGTGATAGAAAGGCTAGTGAAACTTACTTAAACTTTCAAATTATTTTCCACTAGCTTTCCGCCCGCGGCTTCGCCCGCGTGGAATTTTGTCTGTCACAGAAAAACTTTATCGCGCGCGTCCCTGTTTCAAAAACCGGGATAAAAACTATCCTATGTTCTTTCCCGGGACTCAAACTATCTCTATGCCAAATTTCATCAAAATCGGTTGCGAGGTTTAAGCGGGAAAGCGTAACAGACAGACAGACAGACAGACAGACAGACAGACAGAGTTATTTTCGCATTTATAATATTAGTTGGGATTATCGTTTTATTAAGGGCCAACGCAGACTTGCTACTTTAATGGCAATTAATAACTTACAAGCGTTTTGATAGCTCTGATGAATGAGCTCTGAAATTATTGAAANTGCGTTCGTTCGTTTCAGCCAAAATAAATGACGTCCACTGCTGGAAAAAGGCCTCTTCCAAGGTTTTCCATAATGAATGCGTACTACCTACATACGTACATTGTTTTCATGCGATGGCCAAGTCAATATATTTATGTAAAACGTTAAAGATTTCCTGGCCTGGACTTGGTATTACATGGATCTCACAACTTTTTACCGTAGAACAACTGAGTTGCGAGACTTGGTTTTTTTGACAAGTATTGTTTTTGATGGGATTATTCTTTCAATAACAGCTTTAATAATGTAATCCCTGAATTCAACTCTGCAAATAATTAGAATGAGAAATTAGTAGTACAATTTTCATTGCAAAAGTTAGTTAACCTAGCCAAAGATAGATTGAGGCTTTGTTGATTTTATGGTAATCTATGCCTGGAGTGAGTGGCAGTGATTTTTTCCTAGCTAAAAGAATTATGAACGGTTGAGGAAATGCTGGATCTTGCTTCTTGAAAGGATGAAAACTTACGTGATTATTTTTATGACGAACTAGGATGGTTAAATAGGCGTGAAATAACAAAACCCAAAGACTTGCCCAGACTTTTGTTCTCATTAAAGCCAGTTTATTTCGCAAATAATCGATCATAGGATCAGATTCATCCAGACCCAAAGATAAACAACTCGGGTTCTGAAAATACTCTGTGGTATGTTTTAACTGNCACTACACTGCACAACTTAAAATAATTACGTTTTTTGTCGGTAAAAACGTCCTGGTGACGTCACTTAAGCATTTTTCTTATACTGCGTGCGGTCGTTGCGCGTGCGCACAAAGGAATGAGACCGCTCGGACACCGAGCCCACAGCGTGGTAGGGGTGGGGTTGCCCGCTCTTTTGTTTTTTAATACTACTACGCTGAATATTGTGTGCGGATTGGGTTGTCGTACAGGGGTACTACATGGTAAAATAAATCTCGGAGGCGAAAGCAGGATAATTGCGTTTTCCTCATCTCGAACCAATTACTTTGCGAGCGAAATTATGATGTACTCACCGCGATGTGTAAATTACAGTTTCAAAAATGCNTTTTATTAAGGGCCAACGCAGACTTGCTACTTTAATGGCAATTAATAACTTACAAGCGTTTTGATAGCTCTGATGAATGAGCTCTGAAATTATTGAAATGAAGAAAAAATGTTTTACCTCGGGGATGCACTATGAGATACTTTTAAAATTAAATTCCAAAGGGATGCTAAATTGAAGGTATAAGGAAATTGATCAAGTGACTGACAGACAGTCGCTAATTATTAATAAAATAATTAATTATTAATAAAATAATTAAAATTTGTTATATTGTTCTTAGGTACGTTTGTACAGGTTGAGTATGGTCTAAGTTTCTTTACGTATTAAGTACGAGAAAAAAATATCCACGCTTTTTATAAATGTTCACTTAATGTCCACAAAGCACTCATTCCATTTGGTGTAGATTTTCTTCCGTATCACCATTATAAAGTTAATTAGTACCTAAAGTACTTAATGCACGACGGTTTTTATGGCTATTTCACCTTCAGAATTCTTAGCACGCTACAAGAATTAATTTTTAATATCAAACCCAGGGCCTTTGCATAATGTTTGTTATAATAATTTGAGGTAATTTGGAAAAAATGTAATGTAGAGCCTTGACAATGGCAAAGTTTCCGAGTTACGCTTTTGTATATAAACGCACATTTTAAATATTGACATCATTCTACTTAACATAATCGTAGAAACAATACAACCATGTTCGCTAAGGTAAGAACGTTTTACTTATAATTATTTTCTGAGATAATTTTAATTACCACGTGATCGCAAAATCTACCACCAAGATTTTGCGGATACACTATAAAAGTCCAGCTACCTGTCAAAGATCAACGTACGCGTGACACATGTCAGCAGAGCACCGAGCGACGTGACCTCACTCTGGAACGCCTCGAGGCGGACTGAATTTGAACGATTCGTGCGCGGCGTTTTATAGTACTTTTCAAATACTCATAGAAAAAAAATTAAAATGAATTATTTTAAATTTCAAAGTAAATATTTTAGATAAGATATTCTTCTGTTATATTAAACTATTTTTGTGTTGAATAAAGGAAGAATATTGGTGAAAAAATCACTTTGATTTTTGGGTATTTCACGTTCTTTTAATTTGTAATTTCTTATTGTAAAATGCTTAAATCTAAAAATTTTCTCAGATAACTATTTGCCCAAGGATCTATGCTATAGGATATAAATGTTTGTTAAATCGTTTTTACAGTATTTTTATAAAAATTTCAGCTTGTAAACTGACGCTAAAGTGGAAATTTACAAAACCTGTGTGGACTTATCTTGATAGAATTCTTAAATACTAAACTAATCGCAATATTTTCTCAATTAACTATTTAGACGACGAAATTGCCTAACTATTTATGCCTATAACATATTTGTAGTATTACTGGTTAATGATTGTAACGAGTTGAAAAAGTACTGTTTTTGCGCTAAACGGCGTAAACGCTCTTAATAGGTTCAACTGTTAATAATCTTCATAGCTATAAATTTCTAATATATTTTGTGGATGAAATAATTCTTAACTGTCGTCCAGCAAATGGATCGATTGATATTTATGTATAATGTAGTATGGATTATTTACGTAATATAGATGAATGATTTACTCAATAAACGAAACGCATCATTACTTATGGTTAACTTAACATAGTTTACGTTTCAACATAATGAATTAATTACCTCTTGAGTGTTCTCACAATAATTAAGACACGTTACGCTCCGTTTTCCTAAAATCTAATTTAGGAACCTTGAAAAAGAGTATTTGTTTCCGACGTTTTTAGTATAAAAGCCTGTAACAATAGACTCCACAATATTCCACTCATTACCCTCGAAGAACAATCAACAACATGTATTCTAAGGTAAATTGGATTGCTTCCATTTAAAAATTATATTTTTAATTGTGTTCTATTTGTTGTGATACTTATTTGTTAATGTTTTTGTTCACAGATCGCTCTAGTCGCCTGCCTTGTTGGTCTGGCCCAGGCCGGAGGCTTGCTGAGCCAAGGATACGCCAACAGTGGATGGAACGCCAATGCTGGATACGCCAATAACGGATGGAACGCCAATGCTGGTTACGCCAATAATGGATGGAACAACGCAAACGCTGGTGGTTGGAGTAACGGAATCGCAAACAGCGGTTGGAACAACGGCTACAGCGGCGCGTCATACGGAGGCCATGGAAACCTAGGCTCTGCGGTGTCTCACGTGTCTATAGTTAAAGAAATCTCCGGTTCAGTACCCTACAACGCAGGTTACGGTCACGGTGGTCAAGGATACGGAGCTGGTATTGGCGCTGGCATTGGCTATTCAGGTCACGGCTATTCTGATGCCCCAGCCACCTCATACGTGTCCCAATACAGAGCTCCAGCTCACGGTTCTGGCTATGCTGGCGCAGCCGGCTACGGCGGTGGCTATGGAGCTGGCTACGGCAGTGGCTACGGAGCCGGCTATGGCCACGGCTACTCAGGGGCGCCCGCTACCTCCTACGTGAACCAGTACTCGGTCTCCTCAGGTCACGGTTCCGCTGGTGCATACGGCGCGGCTTCATCCGGATGGAACAAGTGGTGAAAATATTTAACTTAAAACTTTTGTAGGTACCTGATTGATACTCAAATGCTTGTGATATTAGATGTGATAATTAATAAAATGTTTTTTATTGACATTAAGAAGTTTTCTTTCATGTAGAGTTAGCTATCCACAATTTAAATAGATGCCCATGTGACCTGGTAATACCGGACTACAACGTCAGTCATGGATGTTAGTGAAAATATTAGGATGAATGTCCAAGTTGGTTTAAAGTGTACGTAATTAATAATTAAATTCATTAACTTAGTGCCACATCACAAGCTCTGCTTTTTAACCAATTAATTTGTGTAGTATTTGAAAAAAATATGTTTTTTTAACTTAATTCTTTAAAAGGCCTTGATTATCAACGCGTAAAAATATTGGCTGCATAATATCAATGAAAGTTCACTTGCAGTCATTTGTAAGCAGCCTGAAGGTTGCGATTACAATGCACAGATGAATAACATTATTCAAATTTTTGCAATTACAAACTCGTTAACATAAGTAACTTGTAAGTATTGTTCTGGAATGTTTTGATATTATTTGAATGTTTTAAAGCAACCAATTAATAATAAGGACTTATTTAATTCTTAAAGTTTTTTACTTATACGAGTACTTTACATAATAATATGAAAAAATAAGGCTAGATACAGATGCCTTAACATTTATCTACCTTCTACATCAGTCACCCGTAGGCTACACACATCGTGATAATCCGAAGATTCGTGCTATCGTGATGTGTGTAGCCAAGTATTCGCGTACACTTCGATGCTTTTTTGCACAGATACAAGACTCTTTAAATTTTACAGTCAAGAGCACATTAGGGTATACATTTTTGTTGCAAAAAATCTATTACAACTACGAGTATTTAAGATGCTACAGTTAGCTTGAAGACTGTCGTCTGCAATTTTTAACCCTTATCTTGGCATGACCAAAAATTCACTACGATTTTAAATTTTTTGATATTTATGAGTTAAGTATGATCCTAATAGGCCAATAAAAATGTTTAAAAAATATATTGTTTTCAGTTTTTCAGAAACCAGGTGTATCATATATGATACACTGCCAAGATTAGGGTATAGAAAATTAAAAAGCTAAAATATTCAAAAAATAATTTTGAATGAACAAAAACATACATAAATAATTTAAAAAGGTATTTTTTTTTAAACTTCCTTATCAAAATTTCTATTTTTCTTCTTACTCAGAGTGAAAAGAATATGCCAAATCCAATTATAGCAAATAATAATTACTCAGACTTGCTTTTTATACCTACTAATAATGATAAAAGTCATAAAATCGAATAACTTTTTACCACACATAAAAGTTGATTATATTTTGTGCATTTTATATTTAATCTGCCTATTTTTCTAGTTTTATATTTTCATACTTGACGGCATCAGAAGGTAGCGTGGATGGAGTTTAATAGATTTTTATAAACTAATTGCACTCCACAAGCTTGTCCACTCTAATTACTGTATTTCCTACTAATGTAACACTAATATCTTTTAAAAATACGCATTTTTTCTTAAATGATGATTTAAAAATATATCACGAAGCACTTGGCAATGTAACATATATGATACACAGGCACATGGACGGTTATAAAATCGGCAAGTAGCAATACACACCATCCAAACCAAACGAAAAACTCAGAGTAATCCTTCTTCTGTAAATTACATACAGAAAATAACACAAATATTTTGTGATATCGCCAATAAACAAATAAACTTACCACGCGTTTGAAGCCAACATGCTTAGGTTAACCAATTTTGGCAATAACTGACAGCTAAATGTGAATAGTTTTTGTGTGAATAGTTTTTTTTATCTCATTCTATGATATATCAGGAACATGTTATATATAAAATAAATTATTTCTAATGCTTTCGCTGCCCTCAGGATTTTTTAAATTATGATGTATCACCCGTGTTACGATGCCAAGAAAAGGGTTAACCAGTAGCTTACGCCCGTATGCACAAACGATGTCTGCTTAAGTGAAGCAGCAAATCGAACGCGTTTAATAGAGCTTTGTGATTGGTTCGTGTGACACCCTGTGTGTCCACGCGCACTGAGAGACCTCATAGTAATGTTTGTGAATACGGTCGTAACTCTTAAGTTCTTTCCCAGGCATTTGTTGCAATTGCAACACTGCCATCTCTATGCAATTTGAACAACCTCCACAGTAATGATCCAGTACATTTTAATTATTATACTTACCGCCAAACGGCGTTTACCGCAATAATAATAAAATATAATTAAAATGTTTGTCTGTGACGCAACCTGCCGCGGTCCTGGTTCAAAAGTAATTAGACACAATTTAACCTTACTTATTCTAATTTGCGAAAATTTTATTACGAACGAGCATAAATCGTTTCCTATCCTTCTAATATAACATTTATAGTCGCTAAAGTTGTATGTGATGATATTGCCTGGATTTATGTTGTTTTACTCTTTCACGCTAAGCCTAGGTGCAGAACTGCAGCAGCAGACCATCGATTTTTTGTTGGCCGATAGTTGGGTCGGGCTGTTAATCAGTACGGAGATGTAAGAAAGTGTGCTCATTACATCGATTTGGTATCGTCCGATTCTTCATACAAATTAGAATTGGCCAACTATAAATTGGTGGACTGCGCCTAGGCAAAAACTGCACTAAGTACTTTTTTGTATTTGCCTTAGAGCTTCTTCAAAATCTATTCAGTACTTTAACCTGGTAGAAGGAAGTTAACACTACATCAGTGATGTAGTACCTACAACAGAATAAAGTATCCACATAGTAAGTAATGTATTAGTGATACATCTTAAACACCAGAACAAAAAGGCTATAATTTTGACTAAATGAACGGTTTTTCGAGCGATTCCAGACAGTGAAATATCATTAAAGAAGACTTGCTTAATTACTGTGAACTTGAGAAAAACGGATTTCCTTATAGTTTATTAATAAGTATAAGGGTAAGGCCGACTCGTACGCGTACATCGGTTACACAACTTTAATCGCTCTGTTTGGGTGGCGCCTCACCTTGACATTGTGACAGATCGCCCGCGGCAGACTCAGCAGATTCAGTACCAATACCAGTTTAAGACGCCCATATAAAAGCGAAAGCAAGTCCCCCAAAACTTATTACAAACCACAACCACGAACAACACAAACATGTTCACCAAGGTACAGAGGAGCTTTTGAGTTGGATTTTTAATCTTCAAGTGAAAGAGTGAAATTTGAGTGTTATTAATTGGGTTTTCTTGCAGGTCGTCTTCGTTCTCTGCGCCGCGGGTCTTGCCTCCGCTGGCAACCTTCTCCACGCCGCCGCTCCAGTGGCCTACAGCGCCGCCCCCGCGGTGTCATCTGTCTCCTACACCTCTCACGCCGCTCCCGTGGCGTACGCCGCTGCCGCTCCCGTGGTCGCCAAGACCTACGCCGCGCCCGCTGCCGTCTCCTACTCGTCCTACTCATCTCACGCCGCTCCCGTGGCCTACGCCGCTGCCGCTCCCGTAGTTGCCAAGACCTACGCCGCCCCTGCCGCCGTGTCCTACTCCTCATACTCTTCCCACTCCGCCCCTGTCGCCTACGCCGCCGCTCCCGTCGTCGCCAAGACCTACGCCGCTCCCGTCGCCACTTACGCCGCCGCCCCCGTCGTAGCCAAGGCCGTGGCCCCCGCTGTGTCCTACAGCTCGGTGTCCCACGCTGCCCCCGTGGCGTACGCCAGCCCCGTCGTTAAGACTTACGCCGCTGCTGCCCCCGCGGTTGCTCACTACTCTGCCGCCCCAGCTGTTGCCCACTACTCTGCTGCCCCTGCCGTAGCCCACTACTCCGCCGCCCCCGCTGTGGCCCACTACGCCGCCGCCGCCCCCGTTGTTAAAACCGCGGTGACATACTCCGCTGCCCCCGCTGTCTCTCACGTCACCTACACCGGCCTGGGAGCTTCTTACGGCTGGTAAACTGTTATTGTTGTTAAATAATCTTATTTCAAACAACCGTTATTTATTGAACATGAATAAATTATGTAAATAATTGATACTTCTTCGTATTATTTTTACCTACGCGTCACATAAACACGATAGGCATAAAAATTAGAAAAAGTTGAAACCCTTTTCTACTACACAAAATTATTATTCTACAATAACAACATAGTACCTACTTATTTCAAATCAATAACACTACACACACAGCTGTTTCAACTATCACTAACCATTTGCCTAGCTAGATCTAAACCTCAGATCATAGAAGGGAAATCTAAACTAAGGCGACGTATGTAATCTCTTCATACAGACCTATGCATAAACGTCCATGACTCTGGGTATAGTTAAATGATCGTGCACATCTCACTAAAATTCGTCCTCAACAGTACTTGAACCGGCAATCACAGATTGCTTTGCGGTCCGGTTTGCGAACCACTGGGCCAAGTAACCGTCATTTCGCATTAATTACTTACAATGCCATCTTTTAGCTACACCTACCTCCTGCAACATAACTAAAATGTAATTAATATAACTCAATTCCAAGGATAAATAATAATAATAATAATTTATTTATTTTCGTATAGTAGTACAAGGGTACATAATACAATGAAAAAACGATGACCCCTGCAGAAGTATAAAACTGTGTCGCAGGGATCAACGCCCTCCTCCAAGAAACAATACTTACATAATTTTATAAAGTAGGTACATCCAAATTCAGAAAAAAAGCAAAAAAATTAACAATATATAAATTTTTTACAAAAGTGTACTCAACAATTTTGATGTCATACTTAAATCGTTTCCACAGTCCTCAGATCATAGATTAAGTAATGCCATACTATACTAACCACTTCCGTTCTTGCGAAGTCGATAATTTACACGATAACTTGGTAAAGGCCTATGATATTCCTGCGTTAATATTATATTTGACATTTAACGTGTAACAGAATCCGATGGAATTAGTCATCACATCAAAATATGGCTAGGTATCCGTATTTGAAAATAAATTATTCCAACACATGGTTATAGACTAAGAGCTAGTGAACGCCAGACCTACGTCATTTTATAAAAGCTGAAAGTTTGTCAGCGTATGCTCCCAATATAGGATATAATGTTGGTTAATTATGAAGTTTGGGTCATGCCACCATGGGAGCTACCCTAAAAAAACTGTATGGCAAGGAGTTGGAACTGTCTAAACTGTCTGGCTGTTGGGGAAAATACTTCTAATTATTGTCCAAATATTATACATAAAAATTAGATTTAAAGGTATTCGTATAAATCATGTAGAAAGTTCACTCAATATTGACTGTCAATGATTTAAATGGCAGTTTACTACGAGTACAAAAACTTTTTTACACAATAAAGAAGGAATTCAAAAGAATGGGAGAGCTATTTCAGTAGTCTTGTTCTTACCTATCGAAATTCAACATATCAAAATAAATAAGTACAAAATTAAATATTCATCCTACAATGTGGAGCTGTAGAGTGAGTAGATGTTATTTTTCTCGTAGTCGCCATTGACCCCATAGTAAAAGTTGAAAGTCCAGAAAATTCCTAAGAGCCGTAGACGACCCTAGTCACAAAAGATTAACTTACTTTTAATGCACATCAAAAACATTCATGAAGATAGACTACTTGTTCAGTGCATCACAATACAAATAAGTAGGACTGCATGCATAGTACGATTATTTTATTTATGCATCGCCGATTGAGTATCTCTGAGCGCTTCTCAATTGCAATTTCCTTTTGCAATTTGATTTCTTATTGTGGTCACATGTAATAATCGTGTGATCTCCACGCGGTGGTCTTTTGTGCTTTATTGATATAAACAGCCCGCCCGGATACCCAAGTTTTTATTCTATTTTGCAAAGCGATTTAGCTATCAAACACAAATTCAATTGAATAAATTACTTGGTACGAGTACGAGTAATAAGATAATACAAAGTAAGTAGGCTGGTAAGGTTATCTCTATTAGAGATTTTATATTACATTAATGCTGAGCACCATCTTATAAGTATTTTAATTTTAACAAATTTAAAAATCTGTCAAATTCCATACAATAACACCAATTAATGCTAAAATTACTGTTAAAGTCAGTTAGTGCAACTTAGCCTTAATCAGTCAAACAGTAGGATTCTCGCCATGAAGTTTTTTTTATCCACGAGGAAGCTCCTTGGCCTAAGTCTCACCTGATGGAAAATGATGATCGTACCGAAAGTGGAGGCAAGTTTCATCGAAATCCTCAACCACAGACGAAGTGGCTATCTTACCTCTACCGGACACAACACGAACAAATAAAAATGAAAGGTGTTAATTATGCTTTCCTTAAGAATTCATTATTAACATTTAATGTGATCGACTGAGGGCATAACAAACTCGGAGGACCTAGTGTGAGTTGTCAAAAAATGACATTAAATGTATGACTAGCTAGGGGCGCTGTACAATCCGTCATACATTCAAAAACTCAAACCATACATTTTTGATGAAAACTCACACTCAGCCCTCCGATTAGCTTCGATGTTGAATTTGGCAGGATTCACAACTTTTGACAACTATTGACATTGAGCCAGTTTTAATCGGTGCTCGAGTTTGAATCGATTTCGTTTCGCCCAAAAAAGGATAATGCAGACCATTCCGCTGTCATAGAGATGTTACTTAATTTTATCGAGTGAATAATTTTAATCGACCTACATACATAATTAACCTCTCAAATAGCAGCTGTTTACACTTGCAGCGTTTATGTAAATTCTAAAATACGTTGAATATATGAATGCAAATGAGAAAAATATGATAAATCGTGGGATAAGTTAGTAAACCGGTTGGTTATCTCCGGATCAGTCGTGATGTCGTTGTGACATGTTGGCTTGAATTAGTGTCCATTGCTTGACAGGTTTGATATAATCTTTAGAAGTGTTGCGCTGATATTATGATGTATTGCGCTCGGGTTTCGTAAAATTGTTCAGGCAGGTAATATTGTACGTATCTGCATAGTATTTAAAAGGACCTTTCCTCTACCAATATTTTCTTCAATATTCATCATGAGATTATTATTTAATAGTGTACTAAAAATCAATAAATACAGCTTGTTTTAAATAATAAAGGTGTAAATATGATCTCTTTTACAGATGTCAGTTTTGAAACGTTTTATTTTATGTTGCAAAGTCTCAATCTAAAGTCCAGACAAGAACAATATTTGTTTTGAAAAATGAGTTTACGCTAAATTCTCCATACAAGACTGTTAAGTTTCATAATTAAGAGCATAACAAAATATTTATCCGGATATGTATATGTATATGTAGAAATGTTTCTAAGTGGACTCTATATTTTTGCCTCTCCCTATTTGTAAGTAGATCATCATTTTGGTGAGATTGAGATCAAACGCAACTAAGTTTTAAATAACTAATTAAGTGTTTTTATTTATTAAATTCACTCTATGTTAATAAGTTATGAATTATTATTTGTTAATGCTATAAAACACTGGTGAATTTTATTTGTCATCTTTATAATGCAATGGAATAAAAAAAAATAGCATCCATAGTGTATCCATTTTCTATTAGAACTGGCAAGTTCACTCAACACCGTAAAGCCAGTGTAACCGAGGCGTGAAATCGCTTATTGTTGTCTTTCTATTATGTAGGCTCTGCCAGGAATGTGATGTGCCCGCAATAATAGAAAACCAATCCTTTTCTGATTCTCATTGTTATGAGAAAGCTCGTTCACGTCTTGTCTTCACTAGCAAAATGACGCCATATTTTTATTTATGCTTTTTTTTCGTGGAAAAGTCTGAATGTCAAGGATTCTTCAGATAAAAATAATATCGTAACACCTGTTTGTGTGCTTAGATCATACTACGGAGTTTTGTGCTGTTATCATCAATAGATAGAGCCATTCAAGAAAAAGATAACATTATTTATCGGCATATTGCGTTTGCAATCGTGTGTCCTAGTGGTACATGATTAATATTTTTAATGAAACTACGAGTAATAAGGTATCATTTGACGTAAGTAATATATAAATAAGTAATTATAGTAGTATACTTNTAGATAGGAAGGTACAAAATAAAAACTGCAAGCATTTTAGTTACTCAAACAATGTACTTATATTTGCATATTTTAATACATATTTTGTCTTTATAACTAAATTAATCTGTTATTCGTATTAAGTTATTCACTTCTTCTTGGCGAAACCTGGGTAGCTGACGTATGACACTGGGACGGAGGAGTACGAGACCGAGTGAACCGGGGCAGCAGCGTATGCGTAGGCAGGAGCACCGTACTCCACAGCGGGGGCGGAGTAAGAAGAGTACGAAACAGCGGGGGCGGAGTACGACACAGCTGGGGCGGAGTACGAGACAGCTGGGGCAGAGTACGAAACAGCAGGGGCTGAGTAAGACACAGCGGCGGGGGCTGAGTAAGACACAGCGGGAGCTGAGTACGATACAGCGGCAGGCGCGGCGTAACTCTTCACGTATGATAGAGGGGCGGGCGCCACGGAGTAGGAAACAGCAGGGGCGGCAGTGGCGTAAGTCTTAACGACGGGCGCTGCTGAGTAGGAAACAGCAGGGGCAGCGGTGGCGTAAGTCTTGACGACGGGGGCGGCGCTGTAGGACACAGCAGGGGCGGCTGTGGCGTAGGTCTTCACGACGGGAGCAGCGGTGTAAGATTATTCACTTCTTCTTGGCGAAACCTGGGTAGCTGACGTATGACACTGGGACGGAGGAGTACGAGACCGAGTGAACCGGGGCAGCAGCGTATGCGTAGGCAGGAGCACCGTACTCCACAGCGGGGGCGGAGTAAGAAGAGTACGAAACAGCGGGGGCGGAGTACGACACAGCTGGGGCGGAGTACGAGACAGCTGGGGCAGAGTACGAAACAGCAGGGGCTGAGTAAGACACAGCGGCGGGGGCTGAGTAAGACACAGCGGGAGCTGAGTACGATACAGCGGCAGGCGCGGCGTAACTCTTCACGTATGATAGAGGGGCGGGCGCCACGGAGTAGGAAACAGCAGGGGCGGCAGTGGCGTAAGTCTTAACAACGGGCGCTGCTGAGTAGGAAACGGCAGGGGCAGCGGTGGCGTAAGTCTTGACGACGGGGGCGGCGCTGTAGGACACAGCAGGAGCGGCGGTGGCGTAGGTCTTCACGACGGGAGCAGCGGTGTAAGACACAGCAGGAGCGGCGGTGGCGTAAGCCTTAACGACGGGGGCGGCAGCGTAGGACACCGCTGGTGCGGCGGCGTAAGACTTAACAACGGGAGCAGCGTAAGACTTGGCGTAAGACACAGGGGCGGCGTAAGACTTGAATACGACCGGGGAAGCGGTGTACGTAGCCGGGGTCGAGAAGGTCTGGTAGGACACCGCTGGGGCTTGCTTGACTACTTGGGCGGCGTAGGAAACAGCCGGGGCGGCTTGGTATGAGACAGACTTGTGGAAGACTTGGGGTTCGGAGTAGGTAGTGATGGTTGGGGCGCCGGCGGAAGCGTAGACAGGGGCAGCCGTGGTGGCCACCACGTGGGATTGGTACACCGGGGCGGCTGTGGTCGACACCACAGCTGCGCCGTGGGACGCGGGCGCTTGGTAGAAGTAGCCTTCGCTAGCCGCAGCAATGCCGGCGGCACACAAGAATACCATCAACTGTAACAAGAGAAGAATGTTGTTAATTTTTTGTCTATATTTTTTATTAATTAAAAAGGCATAAGCCTTTTTTTTTATTCAAGAGTTCTTTAAAAATTAGGTTATTCAAAAGTTGTATTAATAGTCTAATACAAAAAAAGATGTTTTTGCTTTTGACTTTGACTATTTCTAATACACAAAATTGAAATCCTTACCTTTCCGAACATGTTGGACCGGTGAATTTTGGTGAGTGAATATTGTTTATAGCACAATGATCCACTTTTATACCATCCACCCAAACTGGTATCGAATCATCAGGATGATCTTATGCGTTGCATATGCATAGCTGAAGAATATTTTAACAGTTTATCAAGTTCGAGAAAATTTGCCAGTCATCGATTCCGTAGTCGCTGCGAAATACACAATAACGTTGCAACAAGGTATAACTACGAACATAAATTTTTATCACAAAATATTTAACTCTATATGAACCTACATAAAGGGAATTTATGGAGATGACCTCTGAATAGTAGTAGACGTAAAATCTTTTTTTTTTCAGTAATCATTTCAGAAATGTGAAATATGATTTTAACATGAATTTGCTTTTACTATCTACGTACTTTACTATATTTAAATATCTACGTAACTATTGGGATAGTTACGTAGACACTTATCCTGTAAAACTGTGGAAAAATAAGAAAGAACAACTATGAGTTCGTTCTCGAACATTTAAACTGTGTGGTCAAATTGACATATCACTGCGGAACCCCAAAATTGACCTTTTAACGTGCATTGACTAATATTATAGCAGTTCGGACTAGTCGACTCATCTCCAAAACTGTAACAATGTCAAAGTGACCCGCCGCGTGGACGGACGATAGTTCCGCGAACTGGAGATATGGGACATTCAGGTAGGTTATAATATTATTTGTTTTTTTTTTAATTATTTTAGCCTTTATCAAAAGATTTTCATAACTAAGCAACAGTAGCTACGCGGAAATCATTGAAATTTCTAGCTAATTTAAATAAGTGATAGAGAAAGGGATCATAGTTTCTTTATAGATCCTATTTTAGGACTTGTTTCTCCATTTTAATAATCAGAAATAATTGTGTTATCCTAAATGAACAAACAATGATGGCTTACAATTTTTTTTGGAAATGTTACATTTACACTTGCGTTACGGAAACGCGTTTGAATTACGTAATACTTATCTATCTAACAGACAAGTATTTTTTTTTATTTCATTACTTCCCAAAATTTTGTACTTATGGTAGGTAGACCACTAGTATAAAACTCTTTATACTAAGGAGCTTTTGGTGAAAATAGATTTTTGTAACAATACTTAGTTGATTTAGGTATTTCCAAGAATCATTAACAATTAACGAGTGTTAATACCTGGTTTGATTATTGTATGATTCTTGGAAATAAATCAACTAAGTATTGTTACAAAAATCTATTTTCACCAAAAGCTCCTTACGTGCCAGCTTTCATTATTTTTTACTTGTTCCATAAACTTTAGTAAGAAAAATACATAAAATAAGTCTGTGTTACATACTACATTTAAACATAATATTGTGCAATCTCACTTTATCATGCAAATTGTGTTATAATTAGATGTATTACCTCGGATATTATTTGCTCGGTCAAAGCCAATTTGTTAACGAGGTGACATATGATGTGATCAGAACGACCCAAATTTTAGGAAAATTTATAGCTAAATCATACTAGTTTTTCTGCATAAATTTTTCGCAGCCTTCGATTTCATCTAAGTGGTGGTCAAAGTCAATTAAGATGCAAAATACTTACTTGCGGTATTCATTAACCCTCTTACTGTTTTACCAAAAAAACAAGATCTTACACCCGTATTCACAAACGATGCTTGCTTAAGTGAAGCAGCAAATTGAACGCACAGCGTTGAATAGAGCTCTGTGATTAGTTCGAGTGCTCATAGTAATGTTGGGTTCGGTTGCTCATAGTAATGTTTGTGAATACGGGCGTTAATTTCAATAAAATTTAAAAGAGACAAAACAGTGCTATGTTTTTAATTTGTGTGAAACTTTTTACATTTCTATTAATGGTTTGGGGGTAAGTTTGGACTACCAAGTTTATAATAAGTTAAACTTACACTAGTTGCTACCAATTTGGAGCTTTTCAGTACCACAAGCAAAATGTCTGAGGCTGAGTTGCACCACCTAACTTTAGCCGTAACTATGACGATAACCAGTGCTTTTTGTATGGAGTTTGACAGATTTGTTTGTTAAAGCTAAAGTAAAATGGTGCAACCCAGCCTAAGTTTTCTATGATTTATAGTCCAGATAAAGCTAAGCGATCTTAAATATTTTTAATAGAATCAGTGAGTTTATTACTAATTAATTTCGTTCAAGTATAAGGAACTACTTATAAGGTCATATTATAACTTCATAAAACATAAAGTACTCGGCAGGTAGTGATAAAATAAAATCAAAGTGGGTAAATGTGGGTAAAGTGAGTAATTAGTAAAAGCTTCGAATTTAAAATGAACTTGATGACATTTGTGTAACCGCAATCATAACATACAATGTATGATTATTTACTAAGTCAATTAGAATACTAGGTATCCTATCTAGGACATTTCAAATAGACTCGAGTACTTAACCTTGGCCGTCATACGTGGATCAAGTCCACCTCTATTGCAATAAATTTCGCGGCTAAGCCAGTGAAATGGATGCCTAACGATATAAAAACCAGAGCGGCCCTGCTGAAATTATTCAGTTGCCAACTTTCGCAGAATAAACATGTACGCCAAGGTGTGTGATAAACTTATAATGTCCATTTACGTGGCCACTAGTTTATGCAATAAATAAAAATGTATTTATACTTCTATCAGCAAATTTGAATGCATCTAAATGATTAATTTTCTGATGGATTAGTTTATGAACACGTTTTGATGTAACATTAAAAAAACATTTTATTTCAACAGGTTATCATCGCTCTGTGCGCCGTGGGCCTGGCCCGTGCGGGTTATATCCATGAAGCTGCCCCGGTGGCCTACAGCAGCCACTCGTACGCCGCCCCCGTGGCCACCTACGCCGCCGCCCCTGTGGCCACTTACGCTGCCGCTCCCGTGGCCTCTTACGCCGCTGCCCCCATAGTCGCCAAGAGCTACGCCGCTCCCGCAGTGGCCACTTACGCCGCTGCCCCCGCCGTCGTGACCAAGACCATCGCTCCTGCTGTATCTTCCGTGTCTTCTTACTCTACCCACACCTCTCACGGCTCCCCAGTCGCCGCCTACGCCGCTGCCCCCGTCGTAGCTAAGACCTACGCCGCTCCCGCGTACGCTGCGTACTCCGCTCCCGCCTACTCTGCGTACTCCGCTCCCGCCGTGGCCGCGTACTCCGCCCCCGCTGTGGCCGCGTACTCCGCCCCTGTCTACGCTAAGACCATCGCCGCTCCCGTGGCCACTTACGCCGCGGCCGCCCCCGCCTACAACTCCGTGGCGTACTCCGCTGCCCCCGCTGTCTCGCACATCGCATACAGCGGACACGGTGCCAACTATGGTTGGTAAACTGAATCTAGTCTCCCATTTATTTATTTGAAAATCGACAAATAAAACTGCTGAACGTATTTCATATTTTTTATTTCCCCTAAAATTATTCATTTTAAAGACAAAAAATTAAACACACTAAGGTAATAACGAAAACACACTTAGAAATGAGTAAATCTACAGAGTGACTTTGAAATCGTAGGCATCCTTTTAATATAAGACTCTACTCATGAAACATAGTGCATTCCCTAAATATGAGACAAATCCAATAAGATTTTTTGTCATTATTTTTTACTATGCACGTACCTATTTGTATAAGTGTGCTCTTACAAAGAGTTTATTAAAACTGTTGTACAGTCAACAGCACATTCGCCTAAAAATACATCGAAATAAGATGCCACAGTATTAAGCTTGATGTGCTGTCGTCTGTACAAGATCGTAAATATTGAAATTTTATCTCATTGGATTTTTCTCATATTTGGGGAATGTGCATTTAATAATATCATGACTAGACTCTTATTTTAAAATGATGCTAACGATTTTCAAAGTCACCCTGCATAGCCAAATTTTTGTTATGTTTTTCTTTTCCATTTCAAAATGTCAAATATTATTTTAATAGGTTCTTATTTTCACAGACTAGGCACATTCATATAGGTTAAGTACCTAATCAATTAATTCTCGGAAATGTACATTTCCCTCAAGGGCACTACTTGTCAATATTAGACATTAACTACATAAATTAGTAAAATAACATAGTAATGTAAGTGAGTTTTTCAGTAATTCATTAGAAGTTACTCAATGAAAAATCATAAGTGTGTCTTTCATTGGAAAGCTTTTTTCGAAATCATCTAGTATTTTTGACATAATATTTTATTACTCGTTTTACATTATTTATCTTACTTTAAATTAGGTCGACTTTAAAAAGCACATAAGACTAGACATATTTATTTGAGTCTGTATAAACACCTACACAGAATCAAACACTTGGTGTTTTGTGGTTCGAACCACACGATGAGATTTGCACTATAAGTTTTGCCAAAATGATGAGATGCTAAGTTATGTAACTAAAGTAGCTTGCAAGGTCAAATCGCAGTCACGTCATTATTGAATAATATAACCATTAAAATTGGAGCAGAATGCAAATCGATTTCGAATCCAATGCTATTTTGACAATAAAAGACTGCCTACTTTATTTATTGCCTAATTATTCAAGTTTCTGCTTACTCATAACAAGTAGTTTAGATCTATTTTGTTTGATTGTAATTTATCTACTTTTTTTATAAAAGTATGGATTGCCTAAGGCCTTGATTTTGATGATTTGCCTAATAAAATGAGTCCATATTGTGACTAAAACAAAATATTTAAGATAAGTTTCGTTAATTGAAGGATAGATCAAGATGGTGTTTGAGGTCTCTGGAAAAAGAGCCCACTTCTACTTTCATCCTTATCATCACTTTCCATTAGGTGATATACAAACAACATTATGGGATACTAGGATTTACATGAAGAATAAACCCATTCTATATTTTAAGAACAGCACAATTTACTAATTTACTATAGAAATAATAATTATCAAACACAATAATAATTTGGTTGAATGTCAAATTATGTATAAAAACTATTAATTAAAGAAAAGGCAAAAGTTCAAAGAAACATTTTTAATAAAATAAAATATTACAACTCTACATAATAATATTTATAGAAACATTAAAATAATTATTCATATATTTGAGGCAGGGGTTGAGTGTAAGTGTAGTTAATAACACAATAATTGTACATTGAATGAAAACTTATATAGTTCGAAATAGTATGGAAAGTTTGTCTAGATCGAGTTCTGTGTACATGTCCAGCAGTGAACTAACGAAGGCAACACAGTAGGACTGAAAACACCAATTCAAAAAAACAACACTTACGACTACATAGATAGAGTATGACAGAATCTCCCTTAAGTATGCACGTTTTAAGAAAATATGAAGTAATCTCAAGCTTTTAATATTAGGTAGGAAAATGATTTACTTAAAAATTGATCACGATACTAACATTGAGTTAAAATTAAATCAAAAACAAAACACAGTAAACTTTTAACAGTTATTTTCGACCTCAAAAAATTTTATTCGAAGTAGTCATAATACGAGTAGGTACTACAATAGGATNGTGTAAGATACAGCAGGAGCGGCGGTGGCGTAAGCCTTAACGACGGGGGCGGCAGCGTAGGACACCGCTGGTGCGGCGGCGTAAGACTTAACAACGGGAGCAGCGTAAGATTTGGCGTATGACACAGGGGCGGCGTAAGACTTGAATACGACCGGGGAAGCGGTGTACGTAGCCGGGGTCGAGAAGGTCTGGTAGGACACCGCTGGGGCTTGCTTGACTACTTGGGCGGCGTAGGAAACAGCCGGGGCCGCTTGGTATGAGACAGACTTGTGGAAGACTTGGGGTTCGGAGTAGGTAGTGATGGTTGGGGCGCCGGCGGAAGCGTAGACAGGGGCAGCCGTGGTGGCCACGACGTGGGATTGGTACACCGGGGCGGCTGTGGTCGACACCACAGCTGCGCCGTGGCCCGCGGGCGCTTGGTAGAAGTAGCCTTCGCTAGCCGCAGCAATGCCGGCGGCACACAAGAATACCATCAACTGTAACAAGAGAAGAATATTGTTAATTTTTTTGTCTATATTTTTTATTTTTAGTCTTTTTTATTTTATTCAAGAGTTCTTTAAAAATTAGTTATTCAAAAGTTCTATTAATAGTCTAATACAAAAAAAGATGTTTTTGCTTTTGACTTTGACTATTTCTAATACACAAAATTGAGATCCTTACCTTTCCGAACATGTTGGACCGGTGAATTTTGGTGAGTGAATATTGTTAATAGCACAATGATCCACTTTTATACCATCCACCCAAACTGGTATCGAATCATCAGGATGATCTTATGCGTTGCATATGCATAGCTGAAGAATATTTTAACAGTTTATCAAGTTCGAGAAAATTTGCCAATCATCGATTCCGTAGTCGCTGTGAAATACACAATTTAACGTTGCGACTACAAGGTATAACTACGAATATAATTTTTTATCACAAAATATTTAACTCTATAAGAACCTACACAAAGGGAATTTATGGAGATGGCCTCTGAATAGTAGTAGACGTAAAATCATTATTTTTTCAGAAATCATTTCAGAAATGTGAAATATGATTTTAACATGAATTTGCTTTTAATATCTACGTACTTTACTTACTTTAAATGTCTACGTAACTATTAAAATAGATATTTCATCATGTAACTATCGTTGACACACTTATCCTGTAAAACTGTGGAAAATAAGAAAACCCAACCATGAGTTCATTCTCGAACATTTAAATTGTGTGGTCAAGTTGACATATCACTGCGGAACCCCAAAATTGACCTTTTAACGTACATTGACTAATATTATAGCAGTTCGGACTAGTCGACTCATCTCCAAAACTGTAACAATGTCAAAGTGACCAGCCGCGTGGACGGACGATAGTTCCGCGAACTGGAGATATGGGACATTCAGGTAGGTTATAATATTATTTGGTTCTTTTTAATTATTTTAGCCTTTATCAAAAGATTTTGATAACTAAGCAAAGCTACGCGGAAATCATTGTAATTTCTAGCTAATTTAAATAAGTGATAGAGAAATTGATCATAGAAATAGATCCTAATTTAGGACTTGTTTGTTTTCTCTATTTTATTACTTCATGGAAAATAATTGTGTTATCCTAGTTGAATACCTAATGATTATTTACCAAATTATGTAAAAAATTTTTTGGAAATGTTACATGTACACCTACGTTACAGAAACGCGTTTGAATTACGTAATATCTAACAGACAAGTAGATATTTTTTATTTCATTACTTTCCAAGATTTTGTACTTATTGTAGGTAGACCACTAATATAAAGTGTGTTAATACCTGGTTTGATCATTGTATGATTCTTGGAAATAAATCAACTAAGTATTTTTACAAAAATCTATTTTCACCAAAAGCTCCTTACGTGCCAGCTTTCATTATTTGTTACTTGTTCCATAAACTTTAGTAAGTAAAATATATAAAATAAGTCTGTTTTAAACATAACATTGTGCAATCTCACTTTATTATGCAAATTGTGTTATATTTAAATGCATTACCTCGGATATTATTTGCTCGGTCAAAGCTAATTTGTTAACGAGGTGACATATGATGCGATCAGAACGACCTAAACTTTAGGAAAAAAAATAGCTAAATCATACTAGTTTTTCTGCATAAATTTTCCGCAGCCTTCGATTTTATCTAAATGGTGGTCAAAGTCAATTAAGATGCAAAATACTTGCGGTATTCATTAACCCTCTTACTGTTTTAGCTAAAAAAACAAGATCACTGTCTATCGAATCTTACAAACGTATTCACAAACGATAAACGATGCTTGCTTAAGTGAAGCAGCAAATTGAACGCACAGCGATGAATAGAGCTCTGTGATTGGTTCGTGTGTGACGCTATGCGTCCATGCGCACTGTGAGACCTCATAGTAATGTTTGTGAATACGGGCGTAAATTTCAATAAAATTTAAAAGAGACAAAACAGTGCTATGTTTTTAATTTGTGTGAAATTTTTTACATTTCTATTAATGCTTTGGGGGTTAGTTTGGACTACCAAGTATAAAATAAGTTAAACTTACACTAGTTGCTACAAATTTGGAGCTTTTCAGTACCACAAGCAAAATGTCTGAGGTTGAGTTGCACCACCTAACTTTAACCGTAACTATGACGATAACCAGTGCTTTTTTATGGAGTATGACAGACTTTTGATGTTTGTTAAAGTTAAAGTAAGATGGTGCAACCCAGCCTAAGTTTTCCATTACATAGTCCAGATAAAGCTAAGCGATCTTAATTATTTTTAGTAGAATCAGTGAGTTTATTACTAATAAATTTCGTTCAAGTATAAGGAACTACTTATTAGGTCATAATAACTTCATAAAACATAAAACACTCGGCAGGTAGTGATAAAATAAAATCAAAGTGGGTACCTAAATATGGGTGAAGTGTGTAATTAGTAAAAGCTTCGAATTTAAAATAAACTTGATGACATTTGTGTAACCGCAATCATAACATACAATGTATGATTATTTACTAAGTCAATTAGAATACTAGGTATCCTATCTAGGACATTTCAAATAGACTTGGGTACTTATACTTAACCTTGGCCGTCATACGTGGATCAAGTCCACCTCTACTGCAATAAATTTCGCGGCTAAGCCAGTGAAATGGATGCCTAATGATATAAAAACCAGAGCGGCCCTGCTGAAATTATTCAGTTGCCAACTTTCGCAGAATAAACATGTACGCCAAGGTGTGTGATAAACTTATAATGTCCATTTACGTGGCCACTAGTTTATGCAATAAATAAAAATGTATTTATACTTTCTATTAGCAAATTTGAATGCATCTAAATGATTAATTTTCTGATGGATTAGTTTAATGAACACGTTTTGATGTAACATTAAAAAAACATTTTATTTCAACAGGTTATCATCGCTCTGTGCGCCGTGGGCCTGGCCCGTGCGGGTATTGTCCATGAAACTGACCCGGTGGCATACAGCAGCCACTCGTACGCCGCCCCCGTGTCCACCTACGCCGCCGCTCCTGTGGCCACTTACGCTGCCGCTCCCGTGGCCACATACGCCGCTGCCCCCATTGTCGCCAAGAGCTACGCCGCTCCCGCCGTGGCCACCTACGCCGCTGCCCCCGCCGTCGTGACCAAGACCATCGCTCCTGCTGTATCTTCCGTGTCTTCTTACTCTACCCACACCTCTCACGGCTCCCCAGTCGCCGCCTACGCCGCTGCCCCCATCGTAGCTAAGACCTACGCCGCTCCCGCATACGCTGCGTACTCCGCTCCCGCGTACTCTGCGTACTCCGCTCCCGCCGTGGCCGCGTACTCCGCTCCCGCCGTGGCCGCGTACTCCGCTCCCGCAGTGGCAGCGTACTCCGCCCCTGTCTACGCTAAGACCATCGCCGCTCCCGTGGCCACTTACGCCGCGGCCGCCCCCGCCTACAACTCTGTGGCGTACTCCGCTGCCCCCGCTGTCTCGCACATCGCATACAGCGGACACGGTGCCAACTATGGTTGGTAAACTGAATCTAGTCTCCCATTTATTTATTTAAAAATCAATAAATAAAACTGCTGAACGTATTTCATATTTTTTATTTCCCCTAAAATATTCATTTTAAAGACAAAAAATTAAACACACTAAGGTAATAAATAAAACATATTATTTACACACTTAGAAATGAGTACATCTACAGGGTGACTTTGAAATCGTAGGCATCCTTTTAATATAAGACTCTACTCATGATACATAGTGCATTCCCTAAATATGAGACAAATCCAATGATATTTTTGTCATTATTTTTAGTATGCACGTATTTGTATAAGTGTGCTCTTATAAAGAGTTTATCCAAACTATTGTACAGTCAACAGCACATTCGCCTAAAAATACATCGAAATAAGATGCCACGGTATTAAGCTTGATTTGCTGTCGTCTGTACAAGATTGTAAATATTGAAATTTTAACTCATTGGATTTGTCTCATATTTAGGGAATGTGCTGTATAGGGTGTTAGGTAAATGGGTTTATGAGCCGACACTAAGCCATGTTAACATAGCCATATAAATGGTATGGTGAAGTCAGAAAATTGATACCATCATTTTAATTATTTTAATTTTCATACAAATCTGATTTTATAATTAAATATCATGTCCTCCTATTACATTATTTCTCTTTCTTTAAATTAGGCTAACTTTAAAAAGCACATTAGACTAGATGTTTTTATTTGAGCCTGTATAAACACCTACACAGAATCAAACACTAAACTTGGTGTTTTATGGTTCGAACCACACGATGAGATTTGCACTAAAAGTTTTGCCAAAATGATGAGATGCTAAGTTATGTAACTAAAGTAGCTTGCAAGGTCAAATCGCAGTCACGTCATTATTAAATAATATGACCATTAAAATTGGAGCAGAATGCAAATCGATTCCGCATCCAATGCTATTTTGACAATAAAAGACTGCCTACTTTATTTATTGCCTAATTATTCAAGTTTCTGCTTACTCATAACAAGTAGTTTAGATCTATTTGATTGTAATTTATCTACTTTTTTATAAAAGTATGGCAATCCTAAGGCCTTGATTTTGATGATTTGCCTAATAAAATGAGTCCGTATTGTGACCAAAACAAAATATTTAAGATAAGTTCGGCTTCGTCCGTGTTTGAGGACTCTGGAAAAAGCCCGCTTCTACTTTCGGCCTTATCATCACTTTCCATTAGGTGATAAGCAGACAACATTATGGGATACTAGGATTTACATGAAGAATATTGTATATTTTTAATGAATTAAGAACAGCACAATTTACTATAAGATATAATAAGTAATAAGCACAATAATAATTTGGTTGAATATCAAATTATGTACTTAAAAACTATTAATTAAAGAAAAGGCAAAAGTTCGAAGAAACATTAAAAATATTATTCATTGTATATTTGAGGCAGGGATTGAGTTTTTAATAAAACAATACATTGAATGAAAACTTGTATAGTTCGAAAAAGTATGGAAAGTTTGTCAAGTTCTGTGTACATGTCCAGCAGTGAACTAACGAAGGCAACACAGTAGGACTGAAAACACCAATTCAAAAAAACAACACTTACGAGTACATAGATAGAGTATGACACAATCTCCCTTAAGTATACACGTTTTAAGAAAATATGAAGTGATCTCAAGCTTATATTAGGTAGGAAAATGATTTTGTTGAAAATTGATCACGTTTATTTGTTAACTAACATTATAGAGTTTATACCTAATTAAATCAAAAACAAAACACAGTAAACTTTTAACAGTTATTTTCGACCTCATAAATTTTTTTTCGAAGTAGTCATACTACGAGTAGGTATTATTTAAAACCAATATTGTATAGATTTACTCATAACACTCCCACGCAGTATTATTACACAATAGGACTCAGGAACGTATTAAATAGGACATGATAATAGTTTACATAACACTTTAACACACAAACACTAAGCTTTTAATTTATTACGATACAAATACACGACACCTAGCAAACTTTTGCTTTGAAACATGATAGAGACACACTGAAACTTACTCCCCTTCTCAAGGCTTCCGCGGCAATCTCATCCGGTCCACCTCTACTTCAATCATTCACTAAGACAGTGCAATAGAATGGAAAGTTAATTTGATATAAAAACCGAAGCGAGCCTGCTGAAATTATTAAGTTGCTAACTGCAGAATAAACTACAACATGTACGCCAAGGTGTGTTATCAATTAAAAAAATAATTTTGCAACTGTTGATAATTAAGTGGTTAATGAGTCAACGCAGAAAGCAGTTTATGATCTGAAATTCGTAATCTTTCAGACGTACTTTACCTTATTAACGCTGTATTTCCTAATGAGTAAGTTAAACTTTATACATAATACTTAAGTGTTGCTTATTTACAGTTAGTCATCGCTCTGTGCGCCGTGGGCCTGGCCCGTGCTGGTTTCATCCATGAAGCCGCCCCTGTAGCCTACAGCGGCCACTCGTACGCCGCCCCCGTGGCCACTTACGCCGCTGCTCCCGTGGCCACCTATGCTGCCGCTCCCGCCGTCGTGACCAAGACCATCGCTCCTGCTGTGTCGTCCGTATCTTCCTACTCTACCCACACCTCTCACGGCTCTCCCGTATCTTACGCTGCCGCTCCCGTGGCATCTTACGCCGCTGCCCCCGTCGTAGCTAAGTCTTACGCCGCTCCCGCGTACGCTGCGTACTCCGCTCCCGCCGTGGCCGCGTACTCCGCCCCCGCTGTGGCCGCGTACTCCGCCCCTGTCTACGCTAAGACCATCGCCGCTCCCGTGGCCACTTACGCCGCGGCCGCCCCCGCCTACAACTCCGTTTCGTACTCTGCTGGCTCAGCATACAGCGGACACGGTGCCAACTATGGCTGGTAAACTGAATCTGATTTATTTAAAATGAACAAATAAATTATTTCTTACAAAGAAATGCTCAATCTTTTATTGTTTTGTATCCCACTATAATTATGTAGAGATATATTGCAGAAAGGTTACTAAATAAATTAGACTAGATAAAATACAGAAATAACACTCATCTCCATAGCATCGGTGATATTTTTGTCACCAGTTGCTAACTTGTAAAGAAAAATATATAAAATTCTGGATTACTCCTTAGCAACATAACGTGTTTTCATAATGGTTTGGTCCTCTATGATTATGCTGTGATAAAATAATAATTATGTAAAAAAATATTTATGCAAATGAAGAATTCAATAAAAAATGCAAGGCAGTAGGTAATAATGTTGCTAAATTAGAGCAGAATGCAAATCGATACCGGATCCAATGCTAAGAAGTTGCCAATAAAACTAACNATGAAACAAAGTTAATATTTATTACACAAAAAGAAGACCTATTTTATTACACAAGACGTCTTTGGACAAGAATTTTAGTTTATAGGGAATCTACTTTTTTTAAAACAAGAAATAGTTCCAAGGAACTTAGTGTAACAAGCTACATAATAATGAAAAATAAAATATTCCTGAAATTAAAAAGCTTTCTTTGTACCGCCGTACTAGTCATACTCGTATTACCTATCTATTATTTTGGACACGAGTGCCACCGAAGGTGTTTCGCCAATCGAAAACGAAATTCTCTCTTAGGTATCCCAATCTATTGTACAGACTACAGTGGTATTTTCCAGATTGGGATATGGGATTTTACCGACGACATCGTAAAGGTAGCGGGGAAGCGCTGGATGCAGGCCGCTACCAATCAATCAACATGGAAAGCATTGGGGGAGGCCTATGCTCAGCAGTGGGCGTCCTATGGCTGAAATGATGATGATGATTATGAGCTTTTAGCAACAAAATGCATTGTGTAGTTAGATTATGCTACATACTTTTTACTTTTTGCTGCTTAGGTTGGCAAAAAGGTGCCTTATACTCATGTAGGTATATGCATCATATTTGCTAACAATAAAGAACTATACTCTTTAAAATCATTATAATTTTACTATTTTCATACAATAATAAATTCATGTATTTTTATAAAGTTAGTAAATGTATTTTTATAAAGTTAGTACTTTAATGAAGTTAGTAAAGGTGACAGTTTAGATTTAAACCTTTACGCCAACTACAACTATTGAGTTTTACCAAACTCAATAGTTGTATGAGTCAAAATACGTTTTTAAACCGACTTCAAAAAAGGACAAGCACACAATCACAATTTTTCTGAAGTTAGTTGAAAATATTCGTTGTGTTTAATTATTTTCTTCATTTGTTGAATAAAAATAATATAATAGAAAAAAAACATTGTGCGACATAATTTTTATTAACCCTAGTTAAGGCATTCACAAAATGTTATGGCTATGACTATAGTTATGAGGATGCAATGAGTGGATCTCAGTTGTAAACTTTCACGCATGAACTACCAGCTTCTGTACAGATTTCATGATAGTTTACAATGACACAGCTTATACTACGAGTACGCACATAAGTATTAATAACTCAATACTCAATATTTTATTGCTTTGCCACATTAGCCCCAGTTAGAGCACAGCAACTTTTAAAATATAATAAGTTTTATTTTTTAATTTAAATGTAGGATGTAAACAAACACGAGCTTAGTCATTTAATTTTACGAGTACACTCTTCACTTGAGCCATTCGTATTATTGGGTAAAATCGAGATCGTAAGTAGGTCCTTATTCTACATTTGTCACAAATATAATTGATTACACTGGTATCACAATCTCCCTCTCAATTTTTCACTCAAATGGATCGTAGGTAAACTTATTTTTAACACAAAAAGAGGGCCGAACTAGATTACTACTCGTTGCCACGATAAGAGTGCACTGGTGCGCCCCTTCTCAATCCACTATCGAGCCACTCATTGATCCGGTCCACCTCCTATTGCAATCATTTCTACGGCCGAGCACAGTGCAATGGATTTGCATATAAAAACCAATGTGAAACCGCTGAAATTATTCAGTTGCCAGCATTTGAAGAACAAACATGTACGCCAAGGTGTGTAACTGATAATTAAATCCATTAACAACCTTAGTCATCGTGCAACTTACATCACAGTCGGAGATTACATTTCAAGTTAAAAGTGTCTTAATGAGAGCTCTGAAATCTTAATGTCTTAATTGTTGCTCTCAATTCCTCATAAATACGGTTAAGTATAGCATCAAAATGTTGTATTATTTACAGGTGATCATCGCTCTGTGTGCCGTAGGCCTGGCCCGCGCTGGTTTGATCCATCAAGCCGCCCCTGTAGCATACAGTAGCCACTCATACGCAGCTCCCGTGGCCACCTACGCCGCCGCCCCAGTAGCCACTTACGCTGCTGCCCCTGTGTCCACTTACGCCGCCGCTCCCGTGGCCACCTATGCTGCTGCTCCCGCCGTCGTGACCAAGACCATCGCTCCAGCTGTGTCTTCCGTGTCTTCCTACTCTACCCACACCTCTCACGGCTCCCCGGTATCTTACGCTGCCGCTCCCGTGGCCACATACGCAGCCGCTCCCGTGGCAACCTACGCCACTGCCCCCGTCGTAGCTAAGTCCTACGCCGCTCCCGCGTACGCTGCATACTCCGCTCCCGCGTACTCTGCGTATTCCGCTCCCGCTGTGGCCGCGTACTCCGCCCCTGTCTATGCTAAGACCATCACCGCTCCTGTGGCCACTTACGCCGAGGCCGCCCCCGCCTACAACTCGCATATCGCATACAGCGGACACGGTGCCAACTATGGCTGGTAAACTGAATCTCTAGTCTTCCAATTATATTTATTTAAAAAATAAATAAATAAACCTCACGAAAAATACAAAATATGTTTTATTCCTTCTCAATATCAAACCTAATAGAATACATACACAAACTTATTGACTAAAAAGGCTATCGGCAAGACTCCCGAATTAAGAATTTAGGAGGACTTAAATTACATGAGCGTTATTAAGTGACTAAGAGCTGACTTTTCAATCGTCAGATATCTTTTAACTGACGAATAGTCTTGTCATTTTGACATATTTCCCATACTAAAACTGTCAATGTGCCAAACTTATTCTTCAGTTAAAAGTTGTCCGACGATTGAAAAATTAGCCCTAAGACGTAATCGTTGAATGATTTTTTAAGTAACCACCGTCTCTAAATCTTCACGTTTGAATCTAAAGACTTACTATACAAATTATCATGGTAGTCGTTGATATAATATCAACATCATATTCACCTAATTTAAATATACACCCCTGAATATAAATTCGATTAAAAATAATTACAAGTTATTAGTCACTGAAGTGATTAATTTTTTCAATTACTTAGAACCAAAAGTATTGTTATTACACATGTCTTTTCAAAAGACATCAGCAGTACGGAACTTTATCCTTAATCAATTTGAAGTATTAATAAATAAGTACCTAATAAGAGTCAAGACCCTGACTAAGAAATACTCGTACAAGACGATTGTTTCTATTATAGTATCCGCAAAACTAAGTTATTCAATATTATGTACCGTAATAATGAATGAAGATGTATGCTAGCACTGATCCCTCATCGTCCCTCTTACAGAACCCTGAGAGATAAACTGAAAAAACTGAAAGCTTCGAGCCGTTCATGGAATAATATCATATAGGTACTATGCTATACTATACATATAAAATGTAAAACATAATTTACTTTCATCATCATAATCATCATCATTTCAGCCATAGGAAGTCCACTGCTGAACATAGGCCTCCCCCAATGCTTTCCACGTTGATCGATTGGTAGCGGCCTGCGTCCAGCGCTTCCCTGCTACCTTTACGATGTCGTCGGTCCACCTTGTAGGTGGACGTCCCACGCTGCGTTTTCCGGTACGCGATCTCCATTCCAAAACCTTGCTGCCCCATCGGCTTTCAGTTCTGCGTACCTACTATGTGCCCTGCCCATTGCCACTTCAGCTTGCTAATCCGTCGGGCTATGTTTAGTTCGTTTACGGATTCACTTTACTTCATACTTTTGTCCGCGGTCCCACTCGTGTGCCAGCCTGCGAGATGCCAAGGTATAAAAATTTCAAGGACTCACGTATAATTTTTTCCGGCATATCTAGCCTGACCTAACTTTCGTCCTGACGAATACTTATAGGAAGGCATTTAATTGCAGGATATTTTTTTTGTTAACACACAATTCTGGTAACATAATTAATTCTGTACCCCCAGTGAAAAGGGATCTAACTCGACTTAGATCAAAATCGACTTTATAACATAATGTGAATCTCTGAAAAATTAGCTATTTTTGTATCTAATCGGTATGTTTCTACGACGTATAGAAAAGAAAATAATTTTGTGCCAAATGATACAAGTAAGGCTTTGTGAACTTTTCTTTCGTGTATATTGATACATGTCTACTTTTAACAAAGTGTACCGGAGGCTTCTTTCACTTTTTTGTTGTGTCAAGAGGTATGACTCGTGTTACTACTTTTTACACGATTGAAGTTGTGCAGATTGAATTTGTGATTAACAATATAAGATGACGTGTAAAATGTTGTAAGTTACTTAGATCAAAAACATTTGAAAATCGCAACTAATAATTTGGTTAATTATTTGGTGTAAAATGATACAACTTAGCCCAAACGTCAGATTAAAGGAAAAAATAATGTCGTAGTTTATAAATCAAAGAACTTTAGTTAATAGTTTTAATAAATCTACTAGTAAAACATATAATTGAATTCATAGTGCCTAACGTTGTCAATAAAAGTACTTAATAAGTGCATTATCGAATTTACAAGAGCTCCAACTACCAGAAATCTTTATAAACAAAACTCATCACCTTTGACAACAAATTGAACTGGGCGAGTCATGTCGAGAACAAAATAAAAATGGCCTGTATAGCATTCCATCAGTGCAAGAGACTCATTGTATGGCCCTCTTACACATATTATTATGGATCACTTTAACCTACTATTATTAAATACAAATGCTTTATAAATAAAAACTTAAAACTATAAATATAAATAAAAATGAATAAAAACTTAACACTAACTAAATAAACAAACTGACAACGCAGTTCGGTTTCTATGTAGTGATTAATATTTTCTGCGCGCGGGTAACCGGTCCAAGCGCGAGCGCCGGGCGGCCATGTCTAGGCGCGAGCCGAAGATTCAATAGAACGCGAACGGCGACCATTAGCTCTCAACCTTTTGATACGGCCTAATGTGCGTACGCTCTGCGCGCCGCACAATATTTTCGTGTCAGTTTACTTACTTGATTTGGTAGTGGAGGTAGTAGGTACCTATAATTTGATTAATATCGTATGAGTTTACTAACGAAACAAATCAAAACCACTGATACTTCAAGTCACAAGCGAATAGTCACTGTTAGTGCAGGCATTGCAATAACATTTGCATTATTATTATGATATTACACAAACAAATCGTCAAGTAACAGGCGAATATTCCTGACTTTTAGGGAAGGAAAATAAACTGGGTTTTTCTGAATAACTTTTCAACCTGTCCCCTACCTTCCGTAAAAAGAAACCGTCAAACATTTTCGCAAGACCTTCGGAACTAACATAAAATTCAAGACATACCCCTGTTCGCGAACTTCCTAACTTTGTACCTTCAACAAAACAAGAATAAGCCGCGTTTCCGACACGTCGATTCTTGTAACACCCTCATCCCTCACCGCGCGGGTCACGGAACTTATACAATCGATTCCACTCACCGATTGCGGTCCACCGCAGCCGATTATAATGATTAAATCCGGATCGGGCCGGTTCGATCTGGTTCGTTCCGCTTCGAACTAGTCCGTTCCGGTCCCCGGCTTAATGTGGGAGGGTTGACTTAAAGAGGAATAATTGTATTGGTGTTTAGAGTGGCTCCATTGTGGACTAGGATTTGGGACGGCGTGTTATAAGCCTTTATAAGTTCTATGAAATTGGAGGGTTGGTGTTTGAAATCGAATTGTAAGGTTCGCGCGCCGATGGATTTCAGATTTGATTCGATTTAGATGGTTCACTTTAGTAGAGTGTACATAGGTATGTAAAATCAAGTGGCAGTAGGCGGGGCACATAGCTCGCAGAGCTGATGGCCGCTGGGGCAGAAAAGTTCTCGAGTGGCGACCACGAGTCGAAAGACGCAGGCCTCCCACTAGGTGGACCGACGATCTGGTGAAGGTCGCGGGAGGTGCGTGGAAGCAGGCGGCGCAGGACCGGTCTTTGTGGAAATCCTTGGGGGAAGGCCATTATCCACCAGTGGACGTCATTTAGCTGAAACGAACGAATATAGGTAGTGCAAGTAATAGCAAACTGTTTATTCGTTCGTTTCAACCAAACAACGTCCGCTGCTGGCTGCAGGCCTTCCTCAAGAATTTCCACGAGTCCTACGCTGTAGATTATTTAATTTCTTTGACCAACCGTTGTTATAGAAACATCTGAAAATCAAGAAGATTAATCTGAGGTCAGGGAAGTGTTAAAACCGTCTTAAATCAGAACGGGTGACCTAGCCAACCTTGAGATAAGTCTAACTAAGTCGGAAGAGCCGCGGAAGAAATATTATTATTTCACCCTGCTTAGAGTTGCAAAGGATTTTTAAAAAAGATAAGAAGTACCTATTAGATCCTTTGTCCACGAGAGAGAGACAACAAAAAATCGATAGGTGCTCTATAGGCCAGGTGCTATTAGTGCGGGTGCTATTTTGCCGGGTGCTCTAAGTGGACTATTCCTTCTTGAATAGTAACTGAATGTCACATTTTGTCATCAACAATCCAACATAGAATAACATTTCATAAGTTATAGAGACACAAACAAAATAAAACACTAAAGATACCACACATTGTTGCAAGCAAGACTATAAAGCTTTATAAAACCGCACTAACAACTAAAATATCCGGCCATTATAGAAATGGCGTACAGTAAGTTACGGCCAAAAATGAAGCAAGTACAGTCATCACAGAAAACATCTCACTCAGCATCGCGCAGCTCTACAGCGGTCATAAATACAGCTACAAGTCCACGGGCGGTATTAATAAGACGATCTTGTAGTTAGCAAAGTTTACTAAGATCTCTGGAGATTTAATTTTCTGGAATTCGCTGTCTGCTGCTGTATTTCCTGAACACTATAATCCGGGCTTTTTAAAGGTGTTGAGGCCAATCACTAAAGTCTCAGTGCCGAAACTTCGCGCAGAAAAAGGAACATCACTATTGTCTATTCACTACTCTATTATTGTCTATGAAACGACTTCAATTTACGAAACCCAACGTTCTTCTGTACAAATTTTTATAAATCCAATTAAATGGATGAAAATCAAGAAAGTTAGTTTCAATACTACATATTACACAAACAAATGGTGACCCCGACGTGATTGCAACGAGAAAGTCAACGAAACCAATTCAACAAGTCAAACCGTTGAACATTGGAAAAATCCAGCTCATCCTTCAGGAAACCGCCAGTATCCAGCTGCAGCAACTATTCCGAGGGAAGTGCGATTCCTATCCTACGTTACCCATTCCTTCCATCTTCTGCTTNATCTACTGTGGTATGTCTATGGATAATCACAAAAAGTTACGTATTTTTTTCGCGGAACGAAGATCGACCTACCTCACCTCCCCAATGGTCAAAGCGTGACTGACGTTAACCGAATAGAACGCTGCGATTGGTTGCTGGTGTTCGGTTTAACGGCAATCTTGTATTATTACTCAAAATTTTAGGTACCTAAAATCGTGTGACCAACGTATTTCGCTTTCTCAATTCAAAATAATTATAAGAACATATTTTTTTTACTATTGTGTGGAAAGTATATTTAATTACGATGATTTTAGTATATGCTACACACAAATTGAATGAAAATTGTGAATGCAGTAACTAAATGTTTCATTGCAACCGAAGGTGTGACACGATGAGAACGCGAAAAATGACCCCGTTTTTTATCGTTTCATGTGATTTTTTCGTATTATTTTTGCTTCTATTACGATAAAATTTATTGTGTATGTAGCTAAATAGATATTTTATCATCTGATTTCAAAGTTATTGTTTTAACATATACCGTTTATGAACTATTACTGTGTGACCATCAAATTTGAGTGTAAATGAGAAGTACCCATTACCTATCTATTATTTTGGACACAAGTGCCAGCGAAGGTGTTTCGCCAATCGAAAACGAAATTCTCTCTTTGGTATCCCAATCTATTGTACAGGCTACAGTGGTATTTTCCAGATTGGGATACTTATGAGCTTTTACCGACGACATCGTAAAGGTAGCGGGGAAGCGCTGGACGCAGGCCGCTACCAATCGATCAACATGGAAAGCATTGGGGGAGGCCTATGTTCAGCAGTGGGCGTCCTATGGCTGGAATGATGATGATGATTATGAGCTTTTAGCAATAAAATGCATTGTGTAGTTAGATTTTGCTACATACTTTTTACTTTTTGCTGCTTAGGTTGGAAAAAAGGTGCCTTATATACCAAAATTATCTTGATGGTTGTACTCGTATATTTGCTAACAAAAAGAACTAAACTCTTTAAAATCATTGTAATTTTACTATTTTCATACAATAATAAATTCATGTATTTTTATAAAGTTATTTTAATGAAGTTAGTAAAGGAGACAGTTTGGATTTAAACCTTTACTTTACGCGATGGGGAAGCAAGGTTCTGGAGTGGACGCCACGTATCGGAAAACGCAGCGTGAGACCGACGACCTGATAAAGGTAGCAGGAAGGCGCTGGATGCAGACTGCTACCAACCGTGCGATGTGGAAGTCATTGGGGGAGGCCTATGTTCAGCAGTGGACGTCCTGTGACTGAAATGGTGATGATGATGATGATTACGCGGTTGGTGATTATTATGGAGTTATTTTTAGTTATTATGGAATATAGTTATAATTTCTGTGTGAAATACCTATCAGAAATATTGTACGACTTTAAGGGAATAGTAATGCTATTATGAAATTCGTCCTGACCATCAGATCACTTTCCATTCATTCAGGTGAGATGCTGGGGATTAAAAAACACAAATATCTAATTCTTTTGAGAAATTCATGTATTTAAACGTAAGTACTAAATAAAACCATGCTGAGACCTTCTCTACCTACCTATAGTCAATCAATAACGATATCAAGAAGTAAGTAAACAATATCTTTAGTTATTTATTCGAAGAAAGAATAAAACGTAATATTAGCAACAAATTATAACTTAATAAGTATGTAGGAAGCCAGTTTTCATCATATCAAACTCAATAGTTGTATGAGCAAAATACGTTTTTAAACCGTCTTCGAAAAAGGACAAGCACACAATCCACATTTTTTCTGAAGTTGAAAATATTCGTTTTTTTTAATTATTTTCTTCATTTGTTGAATTAAAATAATTACAACAGAAATGAAAAAAAAACGTGCGACATAATTTTTATTGATCCTAGTAAAGCATTCACAAAATGTAATGGCTATGACTATGTAGTTTTGAGGATGCAATGAATGGATCTCAGTTGTAAAATTTTAACGCATGAACTATCAGCTTCTGAATTTCATGATAGTTTACAATGACACAGCTTATACTGCGAGTAGGTACGCACATAAGTATTAATAACTCAATACTCAATAATTTATTGCTTTACCACATTAGCGCATTAGGTTTAATTCAATGTGGACCTAGTTAGGGCACAGCAACTTTTAAAATATAATAAGTTTTATTTTTTAATTTAAATGTAGGATCTAAACAATCACGAGCTTAGTCATATAATTTTACGAGTATACACTTGAGCCACTCGTATTATTGGGTAAAATCGAGATCGTATTCTACATTTGTCACAAATAATTTGATTACACTGGAATCACAATCTCCCGCATTTTTCACTCAAATATATCGTAGGTAAACTTGTTTTTAATAATACAGAAAGAGGGCCGAACTAGATTACCTACTACTCGTTGCCACGATAAGAGTGCACTGGAGCGCCCCTTCCCAATCCACTGTCGAGCCACTCATTGATCCGGTCCACCTCCTATTGCAATCATTTCTACGGCCGAGCACAGTGCAATGGAATTGCATATAAAAACCAATACAAGACCGCTGAAATTATTCAGTTGCCAGCATTTGAAGAACAAACATGTACGCCAAGGTGTGTAACTGATAATTAAATCCATTAACAACCTATTAGTCATCGTGTAACTTATATCACAATCGGAGATTACATTTCAAGTTAAAAGTGTCTTAATGAGAGCTTCTTCTCATCTTAATGTCTTAATTATTGTTGCTATCAATTCCTCATAAATGCGGTTAAGTGTAGCATTAAAATGTTGTTTTGTTTACAGTTGATCATTGCTCTGTGCGCCTTGGGCCTGGCCCGTGCTGGTTTGATCCATCAAGCCGCTCCCGTAGCATACAGCAGCCACTCATACGCAGCTCCCGTGGCCACCTACGCCGCCGCTCCAGTAGCCACTTACGCTGCTGCCCCTGTGTCCACTTACGCCGCCGCTCCCGTGGCCACCTATGCTGCCGCTCCCGCCGTCGTGACCAAGACCATCGCTCCTGCTGTGTCGTCCGTGTCTTCCTACTCTACCCACACCTCTCACGGCTCCCCGGTATCTTACGCTGCCGCTCCCGTGGCCACATACGCAGCCGCTCCCGTGGCTACCTACGCCACTGCCCCCATCGTAGCTAAGTCCTACGCCGCTCCCGCGTACGCTGCATACTCCGCTCCCGCGTACTCTGCGTATTCCGCTCCCGCTGTGGCCGCGTACTCCGCCCCTGTCTATGCTAAGACCATCGCCGCTCCTGTGGCCACTTACGCCGCGGCCGCCCCCGCCTACAACTCGCATATCGCATACAGCGGACACGGTGCCAACTATGGCTGGTAAACTGAATCTCTAGTCTTCCAATTATATTTATTTAAAAAATAAATAAATAAACCTCACGAAAAATACAAAATATGTTTTATTCTTTCTTAATATCAAACCTAATAGACTACATACACAAACTTATTGACTAAAAAGGCTATCGGCAAGACTCCCGAATTAAGAATTTAGGAGGACTTAAATTACAAAAGCGTTATTAAGTAACTAGACGTAATCGTTGAATGATTTTTTAAGTAACCACCGTCTCTAAATCTTCACGTTTGAATCTAAAGACCTACTATACAAATCATCATGGTAGTCGTTGATATAATATCAACATCATATTCACCTAATTTAAATATACACACCTAAATATAAATTCGATTAAAAATAATTACAAGTTATTAGTCACAGGAGTGTTTAATTTTTTCAATTAGGTACTTAGAACTAAAAGTATTATCATTACCACATACACATATCTTTTCAGAAGACATCAGCAGTACGGAACTTTACCCTTAATCAATTTGAAGTATTAATAAATAATTACCTAATAAGAGTCAAGACACGGATTAAGAAATACTCGTACCTACAAGACGATTGTTTCTATTATAGTATCCGCAGAAAGCTCCCAGAATGCCTGATAATCCCAGGACATCCGCAAAACTAAGTTATTCAATATCATGTATCGTAAGAATGAATGAAGATGTATGCGAGCACTGATCCCTCATCGTCCCTCTTACAGAACCCTGAGAGAAACTGAAAAAACTGAAGGCTGGCTAACTGTTCAAGAATTATAAATATGTATACTATGCTATATAAAATGCAAAACATATTATTACTTTACTTTTAGCTTTTGCCCGCGGTCCCACCCGTGTGCCAGCCTGCGAAGTGCCAAGGTATAATTTATAAGAATCTCAAGGACTCACTTATAAAATTTTCCGGCATATCTAGCCTGACCTAACTTTCGTCCTGACGAATACTTATAGGTAGGCATTTAATGAGGGTTTTCGCGTATGAAAATCCGCCAGATGGCAATACGTAGACGCGAGGTCCAAATGCTGCATGATTGGTTATTTTGACATTGACAGACATGTCAAAATCCACCAATCACGCAGCAGTCAGACCCCACATTAACGTCTCGCCATCTAGCGGATCTTTCATACGCGAAAACCCTCATTGAAGGATATTTTTTTTTGTAAACACTTAATTCTGGTAATCGTTCGTTCGTTTCAGCCACATGACGTCCACTGCTGGACAAAGGCCTCCCCCAAGGTTTTCCACAATGAACGGTCCTGCGCTGCCCGCATCCAGGCTCTTCCCGCGACCTTTACCAGATCGTCGGTCCACCTAGTAGGAGGCCTGCCCACTAAATTCTGGTTATATTATTGTGGAAATCAGAACGAAAACCCATTTAAAGAAAATTGCCGATTTAATTGTTAAACATTAGTTGAAAACTCCGCTATTACCCCAGAAGTTACTGGTTCAATTCCTGGTAGCACTGACTAGCCTGATACAGGGTAGAAACGATAAGTGCTCTCACACGATTTTTTCTAAACATACAAGATACCAAAAAACTAGTTACTGATCCTGAAAGTGCTTCATAAGCTCTATCAAACGATATCAATAATAAAACCGAATAATCTGGATCTATCCGAAAGTTCAATGTTTCCATCTTCACTTTATCAACTTATAGTTTCCACCCTGTACTTATGTATAGGTAATAATATGTTATGTCGGATATGTGTTAGGTATACACAGATAGTTATAGGCTATCAGTATTTTCTATTTTATATTCTGTGGCTTTACTTAAAATAGGTTGCCAGCGGGGAAATCCAGGATTGTCCCGGAATTTTGCGTCTAGTCCCGTGTCCAGTAATTAGGCCTTATTGTCCTGGATTCCGAAAACCTACTTAGTAGTTTCGTTTTTATTAGTTTAACTATATTATACTCGTATATTAAGCTATTCATGAAAATCCTATAAGCTGTTAGGTAAATAAAATAGCCTTATTTAAAATACATAATCCCTATTTCTCTTTTTTGCAGCTACGTCTAAATTAGAGGCAAGGATAATAAATGCTACAACATACATTACAACTAATATCACAGTACAATGACATGATCTTTAAAAGTAGTTAATGAAAGTGAAATGCGGACAACCCGTGCGGCCATCTACACAATATAAATACGCGCCGGTACTTGCCGAAATTATTCAGTTGCCAACCTTAGCAGCCTCAACATGTACGCCAAGGTGTGTTTTGGATTTGCTTACTGAAAGCTTCAATTGGATTGACTTTGATGAGTGAAGACAAATACGTGGTTCAGTGAACTTCTAAACCTTAAAATGTTTTGTTAAGGGCTGTGTAGTGAAAAAATTGGTCAATTTGTGTCATAACTGAAGAAATGTTTATTTTCAGCTGATCGTTGCTCTGTGCGCCGTGGGCCTCGCCCGTGCCGGTGGCCTCTACGAGGCTCCCCTGGCCTACAGCAGCCACGCCATCGCCGCGCCCGCCGTGGTGACCAAGACCATCTCCCCCGCCGTGTCCTCCTACTCCTCCTACTCCACCCACACCGCGCATGGCTCCCCTGTGGCTGCCTACGCCGCCGCCCCCGTGGCTGCCTACGCCGCTGCTCCCGTGGCCGCGTACGCCGCCGCTCCCGTGGTCGCCAAGACCTACGCCGCTGCTCCCGTAGCCACCTACGCCGCTGCTCCCGTAACCACCTACGCCGCTGCCCCCATCGTGGCTAAGACCTACGCCGCCCCCGCCGTGGCCACCTACGCCGCTGCCCCCGCCGTCGTGACCAAGACCATCTCCCCCGCTGTGTCCTCCGTCTCCTCCTACTCCTCCACCACCTCCCACGGCTCCCCCGTGGCCTACGCCGCTGCCCCCGTCGTAGCTAAGGCCTACGCCGCGCCCGCGTACGCTGCTTACTCCGCGCCCGCGTACTCCGCGTACTCCGCCCCCGCTGTGGCTGCGTACTCTGCCCCCGTCACCACATACGCCGCGGCCGCCCCCGTCCTGAAATCAGCTGTCGCGTACTCCGCTGCCCCCGCTGTCTCCCACATCTCCTACAGCGGACACGGTGCCAACTATGGTTGGTAAACTGAATCTAGTCTACTTGTTCCTTTGGTATAAACCAAAAAAATTGGTGTAGCCAAAACCTGTACATACTTCTTTAGAAAAATGAAAAGATAAATATTTGTAATAAAATATTTTTCAAATACAAAATGTTGACTATGATTTACTCTCCCATTACAAATAGATGGTGTAGGATTAAGTTAGACGCTTGAAATGTTGACTATGATTTACTCTCCCATTACAAATAGATGGTGTAGGTTAATAGTTACACAACAAAAAAAACAAGATACAAGATAGCTTTTTCTCTAAGCATAATTTATCTTCTATACGTATACTTAGGTATAATAAATCTGTAGAGAGGTCAATTCTGTACATGAAATATATTTTCAAAATAACTATCAGGGGGTGATTAGTGATCGATACTGATGCCAAAAATGCAATCAGTAAATTTTTTGTCTGTCTGTCTGTCTGTCTGTCCGTCTGTATGTTCCTTATAGAAACAAAAAATACTCGACGGATTTTAACGAAATTTGGTACAATTATTCTTCGTACTCCTGGGCAGGTTATAGGATACTTAGGAATTCCCACGGGAACGGGAATAATCGGGAAAATCCTTTTGTATGAAAAATCTAAACCGCTTAAGTTAGACGCTTGAAATTTGGCATGCAGGTATCTTAGTTAACTTAAAGCTTAGTTACAACAGGATATTGGAAAATTCCCACGGGAATGGAAGTTAGCGGGAAAAAAAATGTATGAAAAAATCTAAACCGCGAAAGATGGATGAAGGGGGTAAAACTGGATCCACGCGTACGAAATCGCGGACGGCCGCTAGTTTTTTAATAAATCTAAAAGCATGATGTATAATTTACTAACCAGTGGTGTTCTCAGTGTAAGTGAAATGTGTTTTCAGTTTTGAGAAATAAAAATTAAATGTGTAACTGTAAAATAAAGCTGGTTTTTTCCATTTTTCGAACTGCATGGAATTTGAAGAAAGGTGAAAGACCATACAATTAGCTTACCTACATTTCGCAAGAGAATAACATGGAGAATAGCATTGATAAAAAAATGAAAGATGAAACAACTATTTCAATACTGAAAGATGAAACAACTATTACAATACTAATTCATACCCTTGCGAATCTTGCAGCTTTGAAATCAAAAAGCTTTTCAGCCTACCAGTATAGCGCTCTCAAAAATTAATCATCCTTTCAATGCAACAAACCAATTAAGCAGGGGTGAAATCTCACTGCGTCTAAGAAGCGTTAATCTCTTTCCAGCAGACTTCTTTTTGTGGGGTTACGTTATGAGCAGAGTGTACTCTAACAATCCAAAAACTACAGCATTCATCCATCCTGAATCCATTTCTAGGTAACTCTAACGTAAGTTTTCCAAAATGTTGATGTATGTTNCCCCCAATTCTTTTTTTTACTATTTAGTGTCATAATTTTGTAGCGGTTCATACAACACATATTCCCATCAAATTTCATCACTGTAGTACTTATAGTTTCCGAGTAAATCGGCTGTGACAGACGGACAGACGGACAGACGGACAGACGGACAGACGGACAGACGGACAGACGGACAGACGGACATGACGAAACTATAAGGGTTCCGTTTTTGCCATTTTGGCTACGGAACCCTAAAAACCGGCCGGCGCGGAGTAAGCAGTGCATAATAGCGTCGGCCGTTTGGTGTAGTGGTTCGAAACGGACTACTATTCCGGAGGTAGCGGGTTCGATTCCCGCACAGTACAAACATTTGAGTTCATGAACATATTTGTTTGTATTGGACTGGGTGTTTTCTATGTATAATAAGTATGTATTTACAAAAAAAAAAGTATTTAAGTATGTTTATATCCGTTGTCTAGTACCCATAGTACAAGCTTCGCTTAGTTTGGGACTAGAAGCGCAGTGTTAAATGTCCAAGGATATGTATATATTATATTATTATTTATATTATAGTTACTTGATGCTATCTATGGGATGGATCGCCGGGATGAGAAATCGCTCCAGTTTTAGCGGACAAACAGTTTGGAGCCGTCTTCAACTTCGTCTTCCCTTATTCATTCCTTTTGAAAGCCTGTTGGATATTTTTTTGGGAATTTCAAAGATTTAATAAAGTTTTGAGGTAGGCATAAGGTGATTATCTACTACCCTTCTACTTTTTTATTGTTCGATAAGCCCTTAACTAACTGACAACCACTACTTAGTACTGGTAAGATAAGAAGTAACTCATACTTATTACCGGTTTTTTCAGTAAAATTATCGGAACATTATTATATAAAAAAAATTTCAGTTTCAGTTACGTTCATACCTATGCATATTCGGTTATCTAACTATTAGTGATTAAAGCGTTCTCTCGACCCCGAAGTCTTGGACTAATTTCCAAGTAAGGCTCACACAATATTATGTACCTAAATCTTTCTGCGTTTCTTGTTCTTAAATATATCGACACGTGTAGATAAGATAATTCTGTGGGTGGATACGTAAATGAAATAGGGTAGGTACTTAATTATTCAGAGTAAATTATAGTCAACATGTATTTGATAAATATTTTTATTCGATTTTTTTCACTTTTGTAAAAAATGTANTTAGGCGGTTTCTGACAATGTCCTTTATAAAAAATTCCTTTAAATTGCAATAGAGTTCTACAAAAATGAACACTTTTCGTTTCCTTGAATTTTCAAAAGAGAATTTTCTTCTGGGCCACCCTGTACTAATACAGAAATGTCTTGGCCGATTTTTTGTTCATAATGTTTTCCGATTAGAATCTTAAAAAACCGGCCAAGTGCGAGTCGGGCTCGCGCNGCCTACGCCGCTGCCCCCGTCGTCGCTAAGGCCTACGCCGCCCCCGCGTACGCTGCTTACTCCGCGCCCGCGTACTCTGCGTACTCCGCTCCCGCTGTGGCTGCGTACTCTGCCCCCGTCACCACCTACGCCGCGGCCGCCCCCGTCCTGAAATCAGCTGTCGCGTACTCCGCTGCCCCCGCTGTCTCCCACATCTCCTACAGCGGACACGGTGCCAACTATGGTTGGTGAACTGAATCTAGTCTACCTGTTCCTTTGGTATAAACCAAAAAAATTGGTGTAGCCAAAACCTGTACATACTTACTTCTTTAAAAAAATGAAAAGATAAATATTTGTAATAAAATATTTTTCAAATACAAAATGTTGACTATGATTTACTCTCCCGTTACAAATAGATGGTGTATGTTATTAGTTACACAAAAAAAACAGAAACAAGATAGCTTTTTCTCTAAGCATAATTTATTTTTTAATAAATCTAAAAGCAACATAATATCCGCTGATGAATAAATTTACTAACCAGCAGTGTTCTCAATGTAAGTGAAATGTATTTTCAGTTTTGAGAAATAAATGTCTGTAACTGTAAAAAAAAGTTGGTTTTTTCCATTTTTCGAACTGCATGGAATTTGAAGAAAGGTGAAAGACCATACAATTGACTTACATTTCGCAAGAGAATAACATGGCATCGATGAAATGAAAGATAAACAAACACTTACCGATTTCTGAACTTTTCTTAACCATCTTTTAGCATTTTCTTTATTTTTCTTTAGTTTTATTGTTGAACGACCGCCAAACATGCTCGATGACTCTAGATACCATTTTTATAGAAAATCTGCCAGTGGCAAACCTGCGATGAACTCGAAGAATATGGATCGTTCAGTATCCTAGCTTTCAATTAGTTGTCTATCCTCGAGACGCTAACTTTCAAGATTCGAGCACGCTAATTCGATCCCCGTCGACCGCACGACTTTTGCGATGGATAACAGATCAGACATCACAGTTCAAACCTATTTGGGGCTCCATACCACCCCAGAGGGTAAAAATGGGACCCTATTACTAAAACTCCACTGTCCTTTGACTGCTTGTCTACCTCTCGACTTTCAGGCTGTATCTTGAGCCGTGATGCCTAGACAGTCACTTTTCACTGACGATGTATTTGTTGCCGCTATAAACGGAAATGTCTTGGCCGATTTTTTGTTTATAATATTTTACGATTAGCATTTTAAAAATTTATTCAGATACATTAATCCTTTTTGCAGTCAGGAGGTTCTTTACGTCACATTGTTCAGGTCTTAAACTTGGTATAGTTACTTGATGCTATCTATTGGATGGATCGCCAGGATGCGAGTTCGCTCCAGTTTTAGCGGACAAACAGTTTGGAGCCGTCTTCAACTTCGTCTTCCATTATTCATTCCTTTTGAAAGCCTGTTGGATATTTTTTTGGGAATTTCAAAGATTTAATAAAGTTTTGAGGTAGGCAGAAGGTGATTATCTACTACCCTTCTACTTTTTTATTGTTCGATAAGCCCTTAACTAACTAACAACCACTACTTAGTATTGGTAAGATAAGTAGTAACTCATACTTATTACCGGTTTTTTTCAGTAAAATTATCGTAACTTATTATTATATTAAAATAATTTCAGTTTCAGTTACGTTCATACCTGTGCATATCCGGTTATCTAACTATTAGTGATTAAAGCGTTCTCTCGACCCCGAAGTCTTGGACTAATTTCCAAGTAAGGCTCACACAATATTATGTAGGTACTATCGCCTAAATCTTTCTGCGTTTCTTGTCCTTAAAATATATCGACATGGGTAGATAAGATAATGCTGTGGATACGTAAATGAAATAGGGAACTTAATTACCTATTGAGAGTAAATAAGAGTCAACATGTATTTGATAAATATTTTTATTCGATTTTTTTCACTTTTGTAAAAAATGTATGTACAGGTTTTGGCTACACCAATTTTTTTGGTTTATACCAAAGAAACAGGTAGACTAGATTCAGTTTACCAACCATAGTTGGCACCGTGTCCGCTGTAGGAGATGTGGGAGACAGCGGGGGCAGCGGAGTACGCGACAGCTGATTTCAGGACGGGGGCGGCCGCGGCGTAGGTGGTGACGGGGGCAGAGTACGCAGCCACAGCGGGGGCGGAGTACGCGGAGTACGCGGGCGCGGAGTAAGCAGCGTACGCGGGCGCGGCGTAGGCCTTAGCTACGACGGGGGCAGCGGCGTAGGCCACGGGGGAGCCGTGGGAGGTGGTGGAGGAGTAGGAGGAGACGGAGGACACAGCGGGGGAGATGGTCTTGGTCACGACGGCGGGGGCAGCGGCGTAGCTGGCCACGGCGGGGGCGGCGTAGGTCTTAGCCACGATGGGGGCAGCGGCGTAGGTGGCTACGGGAGCAGCGGCGTAGGTCTTGGCGACCACGGGAGCGGCGGCGTAAGCGGCCACGGGAGCAGCGGCGTAGGCAGCCACGGGGGCGGCGGCGTAGGCAGCCACGGGGGAGCCATGCGCGGTGTGGGTGGAGTAGGAGGAGTAGGAGGACACGGCGGGGGAGATGGTCTTGGTCACCACGGCGGGCGCGGCGATGGCGTGGCTGCTGTAGGCCAGGGGAGCCTCGTAGAGGCCACCGGCACGGGCGAGGCCCACGGCGCACAGAGCAACGATCAGCTGAAAATGAACATTTCTTCAGTTACGACACAAATTAAACAATTTTTTTCACTACACAGCCCTTAAACAAGATATTGAAGGGTTTAAAAGATAACTTAGTGCGCTCGTCACTGTTCACTGAACCACGTATTTGTCTTCACTCATCAAAGTCAATCCAATTGAAGCTTTCAGTAAGCAAATCCAAACGCACCTTGGCGTACATGTTGAGGCTGCTAAGGTTGGCAACTGAATAATTTCTGCAAGTACCGGCGCGTATTTATATTGTATAGATGCCGCACGGACTGTCCAATTCACTTTCATTGACTACTTTTCAAGATCAACTTAATGTAGGTACCTAACTGTAATAGTTATAATGATATACTCGTATGTATTTTTGGCTTATCCACGCCTCCGATTGTTACTCAACTGCAGAAAGAGTTTCAGAAAGATTAATTACTGTTAAATTAACGTCTATGAGGTATTTGTAGACTTACTCTTAGGATTTAGGTATTCGTTTTTAAAATAATATATCTTCATCTTGACAAATTCAGGTACCTTTTTAACGAACGATATTAATTTGTAACTGAAATGTGGGATATTTTCGATTTCGATTTATAAATGCCATCATGAGAAGTCAGGGTATCCCTCGATTGGACCCAATTCTATGAATAAGAGATATCAGTTGATTGGAAAAGATTTCCCTGCGTAACCTACTTTCGGGTTCGGGTTCCTTTACTAATTTATCAAAAATTTTTTGCAAAATCTTTCTGTAGGCTATTTAAAAAATTACTTTTAACTTTATAATGATTGAAACTATCACTTATCGCTTTATAGCATTACTAGCTTTTGCCCGCGGCTTCACCCGCGTGAAATTTAGTTTGTCACAGATCGTCATAAATTAGCCTATATGTTATTCTGGGTTATAAAGAATAATACCGTAAAGTTTCTTCAAAATCCGTTTAGTAGTTTTTGCGTGAAAGAGTAACAAACATCCATCCAGACATCCAGACTTTCGCATTTATAATATTAGTAGGATGTACGAGTAAGTAATTACCTAATATGAAACTAAAGATTAAATAATGATTTAACAGATCGTAAACTAAAAATCCCGCGAAGCAGTGGCGGCGTAGCATTGGTTGGCACCCGGGGCGATCACCCCTCCGCCCCCCCGTCATAACTCCTAAGGCACCCCCTGGTACCCCCAGGATTTTTGGGATTACCTACCGATTCGAAGATTGAAACACAATCGCACCCCCCTCCCCCCCCTGTATCATGACATAGACCGCAGACTTGTCATGCAGATGCGCTAATCGGTACTAATCTGCGCGACTTGTGTCACCCCCTGATGCTTGGCACCCGGGGCGGACCGCCCCCACCGCCCCCCCCTTACGCCGCTACTGCCGCGAAGGGCTCTTGAGTTAGTTAAACGTACATAAACCTACGTAAATCATATATTCGTAATATAAACTTAAAGTTAATTGATGTTTCTAGTTCCAATGCTCATATTACCACAGAAACATTTCATCGTAGTGGGATTTGAATCTGCAACCTCGCAGACGTTCTGGTTCTGCATGCTAACCACCAACCTACGTGACTGTAAAATTCAGTCGAAAACTTCAATACTAACTCACAATAAATTAAGACAATTAAGGCTGGGTTGCACTATCTTACTTTAACTTTAACAAACGTCAAAAATCTGTCAAACTCCATACAAAAATCACCGGCTATCGTTAAAGTTACTGTTAAAGATAGGTAGTGCAACTCAGCCTAAGTGGTTAAAAATAATTAATTATTGCATTTTACAAACGAATTGCTTCTCGCAATAAAACTTGATACCATTTTTCGAAAGGACAGTCGTCTGTGGCCTTCGTAGCTTCATCACATCTGTCACGACAAGTAATCAAACCGGTGTGGCGGATGTCCGTATGGGAAATCAATAATTACGACGCTACTGCAAAATAATTGGGCAATGTTTTGATACAATCAGAGAACTAACTCTTTAAGATCACCCAGGGGTATCAGATTTTTGTCCTTAATAAATATTTATGTACCTAACTACTAATATTTTATTTATTTTCCTATCGTGTAGAAAGTTCATTGTATGACCAAGGATATTTCTTCGAAAGCAAATAATGTTTTATGTCGGATACAATATCCTAAATGGAAATCGAACCCAAACCTTAGTCGATAGATAAGTAGATAAATAATTACAGCATCAATAGCATTTCTTAGCACCTATGATTTCCTCAATACAGTAACATTTAAACCCCCTGATAGGTATCCTTAATTGTATTAAGTAGCTTCCATTTTGAAACCAAGGCACGTTAGCAGAAGAGAAGAATAATATTGTATCACCCCACAAGAGCAAAACTCAGAAATATTTGCGTTCGTCTTTTTAAGCGTTTGGTATTTCTTTTATTTGTCAGTTTCGTGTAATGTGGAAATTGTGCAATAAAGAGTAAGGTACCTACCTACATTTATTTACCTACTTTTTTATCTATCCTACTACACCCTTTTTCTGGAGTGTTTTTTATACTGTGAAGGCTAAGGGACCTTAGAACAATTAGGTTCCGCGAAGGACCTTATCATTTCCTCTGTGTGACGATGAGCAAGACCGTGGAATACATGCGTGAAGCAAAAGACTGTATATCAGCTGCGAAAACCGACTGTCTAAACTGAAAAGTTCTGGTGAAAATTAGTTTATTGGTGAACCAAATAAATACAAAGATAGACTTCAGGTACCATTACCATTCAGGTACGAAATGCGTGTAGAGTCCCCCTGCACTTTAGGGAGCTTCTGAAAATGGCGGTCTACTGATGCTACATAAATAAATATTTCAAATTAATTCAAATAAAGAGAGCTTGTTTTTTAACATATTGATAGAAAACAAGCTCTCTTTTGTTTTCTTCAATGCTTACTATATCAATCTTGAAACAAATATAACAATAGACATCAAAATCTATGTCACTACTTGTGTTCTACAGTTAGTGCTCTATTATAGGTATCTATAAATTTTATAGGTAGCTTAGTTTATTGAAAAGTTTAATTATAGTCTATTAGTGTAACTACCCTACGTAATACTCGTATACATGTCAATTTCAAAATAAGGGGCTGAAGCCACGTATTCTGAGCCATTCATTCGTGACTATTTTTTATTAAAATAAATTTGTTTAGCGATTAGATTTTATACATTAAGTACGGCTTATTAAATTGTTTTGTATTTCTTGTTGTTAAGACTGTAGCCTAATTTTAGAATAGCGTAAAAGGCATAACCTATGCCTTATAATTGGGTAGGTAGAATATTCAATGAAAAAAATAGATAGGGTATGGCAAGTCGTTTAATTATCTATTTACAGGTACCTAGTGGTTTTGATTCAGTTTACCAACCGTAGTTGGCACCGTGTCCGCTGTAGGAGATGTGAGAGACAGCGGGGGCAGCGGAGTACGCGACAGCTGATTTCAGGACGGGGGCAGCAGCGGCGTAGGTGGCCACGGGGGCAGCGGCGTAGGCGGCGACGGGGGCGGCGATGGTCTTGGCGTAGACAGGGGCGGAGTACGCGGCCACAGCGGGGGCGGAGTACGAAGCCACAGCGGGGGCGGAGTACGCGGCGTACGCAGGAGCGGCGTAGGCCTTAGCCACGACGGGGGCAGCGGCGTAGGTGGCGACGGGAGAGCCGTGGGAGGTGGTGGAAGAGTAAGAGGACACGGAAGACACAGCGGGAGAGATGGTCTTGGTCACGACGGCGGGGGCGGCGGCGTAGGTGGCCACAGCGGGAGCGGCGTAGGCCTTAGCCACAACGGGGGCAGCGGCGTAGGCGGCTACGGGAGCAGCGGCGTAGGTCGCGACGGGAGAGCCGTGAGCGGTGTGGGTGGAGTAGGAAGAGTAGGAAGACACGGCGGGAGAGATGGTCTTGGTCACCACAGCGGGGGCAGCGGCGTAAGTGGCCACAGCGGGGGCGGCGTAGGTCTTAGCCACAACGGGGGCAGCGGCGTACGCGGCTACGGGGGCAGCGGCGTAGGTGGCGACGGGGGATCCATGGGCGGTGTGGGTGGAGTAGGAAGAGTAGGATGACACGGCGGGGGAGATGGTCTTGGTCACTACGGCGGGGGCGGCGATGGCGTGGCTGCTGTAGGCCAGGGGAGCGGCTTCGTACAGACCACCAGCACGGGCGAGGCCCACGGCGCACAGAGCAACGATCAGCTGAAATAAGTGTAAATTATTAGTAAATTGCGCTGGAGGTCCAGATTTGCAGGACACTTAATTATTTCATATTTTATAAAATGTAGCTCCAAATAGAAAAGCTTGAATATCCCTAACTTATAGTTATCTCACACACCTTGGCGTACATGTTGATGGTGCTAAAGTTGGCAACTGAATAATTTCGGCAAGTACTGCTCCGTTTTTATATTGCATAGGTGCGTTCAGTGTTCACTTTCATTGCCAAGGCGAGCAGCCTGCGGAGCTTAGCCTACGCCCGTGACTCAGAGATAGCCTTTCGATTTCGTTTGTTCCGTTTGCTTACGTAGGTACTAATAGGGCAAGCGAGCCTTGAGAATAATTATCAACTAACTGGGACCGGTCGCCGTACTGGTTGCCCATCAATAACATCAAAGATTTCATTGACTTTATCTCCGATTGCTTGTGTGATTAATTTAATATTTGCATTTTGCTGTTAGCATTGGCTTATGTCGGTATAAGAAGGTAAGTAGGTATAGGTTTATTAAATGTTAGCTACTTACGCTTTGATAATGACTGTCCACATTACTATTAGTATCATTGAAGTTAAAAGATTTCACAAAGTAATATAAAAGCTTCACACGTCAGTCGTCAGTCACCTCCCCAAAATTTTACTAAGTAGGTAAGTACAATTCACTTCATACCTACTCGTAATTTTTTTCACACTAAGGTATGCAAAATAGGATAATGGCATTCAATTGTAAAACTGGAAATAAGAAGTTTTACCACATTATTTATTTATTGGTGGACTTAATGGCAGGTAGCATTCTCTACCAGTTAACAAGTCAAGCAGAGAAAAAAGCTTATACCCACAAGCTTTACTTTTTACTTTACCAATCTTCCTTCCTTATCTACTCATTTAGGCAAAGTGAACAGCAGGAATCTGTCAATTACCTACGCACTATGACAGTGGTTACACCAGCGCACCACCTAGCACTACTAGACTTCTAGGTATACCCTAACTAAAAAATACCCGTTTCCTCTACCTATTTTATGAAATTAAATATTTGTGTTCCTCATTTCTGGTTCGTTCTCGTAAAGAAAAACCGAGCATA